CTCTTGAAGGTCTATAGAAACCGTAGAGGTCAGTTGACCAACGTCGCCGTTAGAATTCTTAATAACAAGGCCGTTGCTTAGGGGCTTCCTGAGGCTGACTGGCCAGAGGCCTGTAGCTTTCCAGCCGGCTTTGATATTAGATTCAGTCATTCCATAGACCCTGGCTTGCCGGTAGCATTCTAGGAAGGCCCTCTTTTCCGGAACAGTGCCTTCGTCGAAGCCGGAAACAACCTCGTTATGCTTGGCTCTGTACCGGGCTTTTAGAGGGCCGAAAACCGATAAATCCAGGGGCTGGAGAACGTGGGAGGTGTGGGCTGGTAGAAATAACAATTGTACGTTATTAGAAAAGGCTAGCCACATGAATTCTTCGGTGGTATGACTACCGTGGCCATCTAAAATAAGGAAGCGCTTCTCCGAGGGGGTAGCTGGCCGAGTCTCTGGAAGAAAGATATTGCGGAGCCATGCGACGGCAGTATCATCGTCAGACCAGCCGTTTTCAGTGGGTTTCCACTTCCAGCCCTTAAATGGCTGTAAATCGCGTGGATACCATTGTTGTTGAAGGCTTCCACCTTTGAAAATGACGACTGGGTTCAAATACCGGCCGTCAGCGGAAATACATTCGATAATCGAGGTCCAAATTCGGTCTCCTTTCTTCTTTTTCTGGAATTTCTTTCTTTCCTTAGATCCAACAACCAGGCCGTTATCTCCAATGCCAGAAGCAATGCCAGTTTCATCCATATTATACCTATGCTTGGCTGGAATAGCCTCCACGCCTGGAGGCTTCAAATAGTCCAACCAAGGCCGGATAACGGCCTCACAGGCTCGATCAGCACGGTTTGCATGGATTCTCCGAGGCCTAATTGTAGAAATAGATGGATTTCTAGCCAAAAACCGGCTAGTCCAGCGTTTTCAGAGGGTCTCGTTATCTTCGAGCATTCTTCTAGCTAGTTTCCGAATTTGGGCGTGGGTTGGAGGGTGACCGAGCGACCCTTGGAATAGAATCCATTTGGTTAAGCGTTCTTCCATAGCCGGAGAAAGCTTTTGATTAAGAATTTGGGCCTTGGAGGCTGGCTCGGAACCACGAACCCGATTAAAGAGAGTAGTAGGGGGGATGCCGTGATTTTCAGCAGAGCTACGGAGTAAGCCGGTTTCTGCATACTCTGCCAGCGCATTCTGCAAATCCACCTGAGTATATCGCTTTATCTTTCATTTCTCAATTGAATGGAGAAAAGAAGATAAGTATTGAAGCAGAATTGGTCAAGTTGCAAGCGATTGAAATAAGTGAGTTGGGTGGCGAGCGGCAAGTCCTTGATGACAAACCTTGTTCCAAATCCAGGGGTGTTCCATAAGCAGACCACCTGACTTAACAGGTGGTGAGCGCGCACCCTGTGCGCACGGCTGGTGTTTGGGGTGTCCTTTCCTTACACCTCATCAGCGCCCTTCTGGTGTTTAGGGGAAGTATTGTGGTTGAAGCGGGCAAGCGGTGAGGTTGCGGGCGAGCCGTGAGGTTGCGGGCGAGCCGTGAGGTTGTGAAGGCGATGTCAGGCCTCGTGATGACTGCTGCATACAATAGGGACCCTACACAACGTTGGTACAGCTGTGTTTCCGATGGACTGGCCAGGCCTTTATTTGGAAGCAATTCCTCATGCTTCGGCGTTGCGGGTGCCTCAGTGATGACTGAGGCTGCCCTGGACCTTCTGTTTACCAGAAGCCTGTCGAGTTTGGCGATATATGCGGCTTGAGAGAGCCACAGTCTTTTCTCTCGGTCCCGAATGACCTCGATCCCTAGGAACTACTGTAGAGGGTCCCAGCCTGTAAGTAAGTCCGTTTAAGCTCTGTGATTAGGTGGCCTTGCGCCCTGAGGCTTTCCGGAAGGTTATGAATGTCATCGACATAGAAAAGATAATGAATCCTTCCTTGTGTAGCCGGGCGGCATTTCATGAACACCTTGTAGGGTGAGGGGGCATGAACGAAGGCGTTGACGTAGTAGAAGTGTTCGGAATGACTTCCCGGCGAGGGTGGCCGCTATCTCGAGAAGTGTTTGGAATGACTTCCCGGCGAGGGTGGCCGCTATCTCGAGAAATGTTTGGAATGACTTCCCGGCGAGGTAGCCGCATAGGTGTTTTCGTAGGCTCCCTGAGACTGTTGATCTCCCATGCAGTTCAGGATTTGGCGCTGTAGCCACCTCTGTAGCCACGGCTGAAAGACTTTATTTCCCTATGCCCTTGAAGGTGCAGGTCCTGACCTCATATATGTGGCTAGATCGGTACCCAATTAGGTAACCGATCCATGCCTCAGGCAGCTTCCGTGATTCGGAAGGTTGTACTCCAAGCGTTGCTCGATCGGTATCCAACTAGGTAACCGATTCTCGGGCCAGCTTCTGCCTCTTGTTTTTCTTGGCATCTCTGTCATCGCGAACACCTTGCAGCCGTATGCTCTGAGTGAGCCTGGTGCGGGAGGCGTGCCGGGGGTATGTCCTTAATGACGAATTGGCCGTGTTTGTTAGCTTGGCCACTGATCTATCCTTCCTGCATAGTTGGTCTTTCCGACGCGGGCTAGTCAGCTTGACTGCCTGCTAGTCAGCTTGACTGCCGAGCGGGTTCGGCCTGAAGAGTTCCGAGGCACGTTCAGGAAAGACTGAAGTATGTGGCCGCATCGTACCCAGCTAAGGCACAGGCCCCAGCGTAGTGGTTCCTCAGGGACACTTTGTATCCCTGGCGAGTAGCTTTACGGCGGGGGCACTGGTGTTCTGTTGTTGTACCGCTGCATCACCGTCTGCCCTTCCGGACAGTTCTCCCTGTATTGTTGTGTGACGGTCGCTGACCACGTTTCCAGCGCTCCCATGCCGTGTGTATGTTCCCTCCAGATGTTTAAATCGAGTTCGTAGCGGAGGTAATCGTCATTGAACACCGCTGGGGCTGCCGAAACGATAAGAGCTGTGATGTGAAAATCAAGTTCGATGGAAGAAATGACGAGAGCTGCGAGAAAGCTGCGGCTAGAAAGGAAACTGCGGCTAGAAATGACGAGAGCTGTGGTGTGAAATCAAGCTGCGGCCAGAAACGAGAAGCTACGGCCAGAAACGACGGGAGTGATGCTACAGCTGGTGCGGCTAGGGTCAGATCTTCTCGCGAACAGGACAGCCGGTTCGGTGCCAAGAGAGTACAGCCAACCCCTGTAGCCTAGCGTTGTGGCCAAGAAGTACTGCATGAAGGCCTGGTCAGTTGAACTATCCACGAATAGTATAGTTGCCAAGGAGTCTCACCGCCTTCATCGGCCACCGATGTGACGATTGCAAAGAGAGCTTTGTTGACGCCGCTGTTGCTTCGAGTCTGAATCCAGTGCAGAACCTTGATATTTCCCAGCCAAATCGATAGATATGGCACCCCAGCGCGACAGTACGAGCCGGTCGTCGTCAATTGAGCCCTCTGCCGAACGCTTCCTCAACGACACTCCGAGCCCAGCCCCACTCGTTCGCGAACGAGCCGGACAGCGAATCCGACACCGTTTCGAGCTAGGCTAGCGATACTGACGATGCTGACGAACGATCTCAATCGCTCTCCCCAATAGGGCCAGTCGACCGCGAACCGGCTGGAAACCAGGGCTGAACCGTTCAATTTCGCGGTTCGCGCGAACCGCCTGTTCAGCTCTCCAACCGGCAGAAAACACCAGAATCACCCCTGTTTTCTAACCTCCTCCGGTTAGCCGCGACCTGCATTAGCGCGGTACATCGCCAACAAGGGCCTGTGGCTTCGAAATTTGCGAACAGGCTGTTCGCCCGACTTGGCCAGCGAAATTGCTGCCAGAAACGGGATAGTGGCCCTCGAAAAATCAGTCTTAGCACACCTGAACAGCCTTGGCAGTCCGAACCGGCTGTCCTGCTCGCGAGAAGATCTGACCCCTAGAAACGACGGGAGTGGTGCTCCAGCTAGTGTTGCCAGAATGATGGGTGTGGTACTACAGCTGTGGTGTTACCAGAACTGAGAACCTGCGGCCAGAAATGACGAGAGCTGTGGAGTGAAATGAAAGCTGCGGCCAGAAAAAAGAAGCTGCGGCCAGAAATCAAGCTGCGGCCAGAAACGAGGAAGCTGCGGCCAGAAACGAGGAAGCTGCGGCACCAGAAACGACGGGAGTGGTGGTGTGAAATCAAAGCTGCCAGAAATGAGGAAGCTGCGGCTGCCAGAAACGACGAGAATGGTGCTGCAGCTAGTTGTCTGACTCACACACCCACTGAAGACACCCGGATTCCTAAACTACCTGTGTAGCGCACACAAATCCCTAAACTACCTGTCTGCCGGATCCCCCACCACTGCCGGATCCCCCACCACTGTCTGCGGATTCCCCACTGTCTGCACGCATCTCACAACCTATCTGCCACACACGGATCCCCCAAACCCACTGTCTGCTACACACGGATCTCCCAAACCACATGTCTAACACACACGGATTCACAAACCTACTGTCTGCTACACACGATTCACAAACTTAGTGTCTGCTACACACGGATTCACAAACATACTGTCTGTAGCGGCGTCACACGCGCACTCACTTGCCATGCACACCGCGTCACTCGCCAGCACAACACACAACTCGCCAGCACAACACACAGCACAACACACACAACTCGTCAGCACAACACACACAACACACATAACACACAACACACATAACACACAACACACATAACACACAACACACATAACACACAACACACACACATATATAAGCAATGATTCCCAGGCTGCGTGGCTAAGCTATAAACGTGCAAGCATCCCGGCTATCATGGGCGGTGGAAACTGCGGCTCGTGGCCTCGCGGGACAAGTCGCTCGCCAAAATGCCGCCAGACGATGCCTAGACTGACAAGTGATGCCTAGACCGATGACAAGTGATGTCTAGACCGAATGCCTAGACCGAATGCCTAGACCGATAAGTGATGTCTAGACCGAACGCCTAGACCGAATGCCAGTGATGCCAGTAATCCCAGTAATGCCCAGAGTGTTGCCTAGACGACCAATCCCCATAGACCAATCCCCAGAGTGCAAGTTGCCCAGCCGATGCCAGACGGATCCCAGACGGATCCCAGACAGATCCCCGAATCCCAGAGGATCCCCAGAGTACTGACAATAATGCCAGGTACTAGATATTAATGCCGTGCCAAAGTGCACCGAATGCCCAGACAAGTAATGCCCGTGCCAAAGTGCGCACCGAATCCCAGACGAACCTCCCGACTAGATAAATAATTCCTAGCCAAATAATGCCAGACGAAATCCAGCTTACTGCCCGGAACCGCCAGTGCCGCCAGTGCCGTCCTCAGCGTCCTCGTCCTCGCGCAGGTGGATGCTCGACTCGACGGCACAAGCTGGACGGCGAGCCGCGCGCAGCGGCGGGTTGAGGGGGCTCCACGTGGTGTAGCGCGGTGCTGGAGTCGGCTGTGCCTGTCCGTAAGTCGGTGCCTGTGGTCCGTAAGTTGGCTGTGCGGGTGCCTGTCCGTAAGTCAACTGCGCTGCCTCTTGCGCTGCCTCTTGCGCTCCCTCCTCTTGTCCCTCTTCCAGCTTTGATCTGGTATTGCGGATGCCCTGTTGGGAAAATGGAATCTTGTAATGTTCCGTAAGTTGGTGCCCGTGCGTAAGTCGGTGCCTGTGGGTAAGTCGACGCTGTTCCCTGCGCTGTTCTGTAACTCGACTGCGCTCCGTAAGTCGACTGCGCTCCGTAAGTCGACTGCGTTCCGTAAGTCGACTCTTCGCCCTCCTCCTGCTTGATTTCTGTTAGGTCAATCGAATCTTGTAATGTTCCGTAAGTCGGTGGCTGTGCAGGTGCCTGTGTTCCCGAAGTCGACTCTTGCGCCGTCTCTTGCGCTGCCTCTTGCGGGTACGGTAGCCAGAGGTAAGTCGACTCTTGCGGCGCTGTTCCGGAGTAAATCAACGGCAGCGCTGTTCCCGACGCTGTTCCCTGCGCCGACTCTTGCGCCGACTCCAGTATCTGGTACTGCGGCCCTGTTGGGGACTGCGCTGCGTAAGACTCAAGCGGCTGCGCTGGGTAGATGGACTGCTGCGAGATAGACTGCTGCGAGATCGACCCTTGCGACTCTTGCGCTGGGTAGATCGACTGCTGCGACTGCTGTGCCGACTGCTGCGCCGACCCTTGCGACTCTTGCGCTGGGTAGATTGACTGCTGCGACTGCTGCGCCGACTGCTGCGCCGACTGCTGCGCTGACTCTTGCGACTCTTGCAGCTGGCCCTCCCTGACCTGGCCGAGACTGAGCTGGTAGAGGGCGCGAGCGGCGAGGGCGACGTTCTCTTCCAGGTCGGCGCGAGCGACGATGGCCTCGGCCGTGGCCAAGGCGCTGGCCAAGTCGCTGCTAGCGTCGGCGAAGCTGGGGCTGAGGCGGTAGCTGAGGACGCTGCTGGCTACGCTGGGCTGTGTCTGCGACGTGGGCTGTCTCTGTGACGGGCGACTGCCTGTGGAGGAGTAGTCGTTGCTCGTGCGACTGTAGGTGAGGCCCGAGTAGTCGTTGCCGGTGGGGCGACCCTGTGACTTGGGGCGACTGTAGTCGTTGCTGTAGTCGTTACCCAAGCGGCTGTAGTCGTTGCCCGGGCGGTAGTCGTTGCCCGTGCGACTGTAGTCGTTGTAGTCATTGCTGTAGTCGTTGCCAGTGGCGCGAGAGATACGCCGAACGACGCGACTGTCGCCCGAGTGGTTGCCCGTGGTGTAGTCGTTGCTGTAGTTGTTGCCCGTGGCGCGAGGGATACGCCGAACGACGTGACTGTCTGAGTCGTTGCCCGTGGAGTCGAGGCCCGTGGGGTAGCGCACCGTGGGCCGGCCGACTTGGCCATGGCCATACAGTTGGTCATCTCGAGGCATACGCCGAATAACGGGAGTATAGTAGTTGAGGCCGAAGTAGCTACCCGTGGGGAGACTAGAGTCGTTGCCCGTGGGGCCCGTGCGACTGGAGTCGTTGCCCGTGTTGCCCGTGGGGCGACTGAATGGGTTGAGTGGGTAGAGGCCCGTGGGGCGACTGGGGTTGCCCGTGGGGTTGCCCGTGGGGTTGAGGCCCGTGGCGCGACTGGGGTTGCCCGTGAGGCCCGTGCAACTGGAGTCGTTGCCCGTGTTGCCCGTGGGGCGACTGTATGGGTTGAGTAGGTAGAGGCTCATGGGGCGACTGAATGGGTTGAGTGGGTAGAGGCCCGTGGGGCGACTGGGGTTGCCCGTGGGGTTGCCCGTAGAGTCGTTGCCCGTGTCGTTGCCCGCGCGACTGGAGTCGAGGCTGGAGTAGTCGTTGCCAGTGGGGCGACTGGCGTTGCCCGCGCCTGGGTTTGCCGTGCGCACCGGGGGACTGGCTGGGTTGTAGGCCTTGGCCGGCGGCGGGCTGTAGTGCGTGTTGTGGCCAAAGTACACTTTGCGCCTTGGTCGCGTCGTGCGCCGGAAGCTGCTCTTGAGGATGCGGTCCCGGCCACGGCCACGCACCGGAGACGTGGCGACGCCGCCGCCGCCACGCTGCCGCAGCGGAGGCGCGGGGACGCGCTGCAGCGGACGGCCACGCGGGCGCGGAGTCGTGGGGCCTTGCGTGGCTACGTGAATGGTGTCTTGCACGTGAGTGCCTTGCTGACCCGGAGTGTCTTGCTGGCTGGCTTGCTGACCCAGAATAGTATCTTGCTGACCTAGAATAGTGTCTTGCTGACCCAGAATAGTGTCTTGAGTGGACCGAGCCACGTCGCCCACGTCCTGCATAGGAGTGTCCTCGTCAACGTCCTGCATACGAGTGTCCTGAGTGTCCTCGTCCGCAGCGTCTGCGGCCTGCATTGGAGTGTCCTTGTCCGCAGCCGCCGCAGCGTCCTGCGCTTGCCTCACCGCAACGTCGGCCAGCGACGCCTGTATGGCCAATCTCTCCTGCACCCGCATGCTGCGCCGCTGGTCGGGCCACGCGTCCGACATTGTTTGCGCGCTGCGGCGGCGCTGAGTCGCCACGGTCCGAGTCGCCTTCGGAGTCGCCTTGGTCACCTTCGCCTTGCCAGCCTTCTTCGCCTTCGCCTTCTTGCTCTTTTTTGCCGCGCGCGGGGGACTGGGCAGCGTGTCGCTGGTGGGCGCGCTGGGGGTGGTGTCGGGAAGCAGCCCGACGCGCTCCTCGATTGGACTGGCTCCGCGGAAAGTGCGCCTTACAGGACTAGGGCGGGGCTGAGTCAGCCACCTAGGCCGGATCGACACGAAGAAGCCGTGGACGGGGTCCATCATCAGCGGCCCAATGCCGAGGTCGTCGGCCAGACGGACCATGTCCCTGTACATGAGCTCTTCCATTGAGTTGTTGTCTAGGTGGCGCTCGGGATCATCGACAGCGCCTTCCATGGAGGTGGCGGGAAGTGACGATCGGGAAATGCAGTGGCTAGAAATGGGGAGTGCGCTGTGGCTACCAGAAATCAATAACGGGTGCGCCTGCCAGAAATCAATGATAGTGCGGCTGTGGTGACTGCCAGAAATCAATGACGAGCAGCTGTGGTACTGCCAGAAATCAATGACAGTGCAGCTGTGGTGACTGCCAAAAATAGAGGAGTGCCTGTGGTGACTGCCAGAAATGGCAACGACGAGCAGCTGTGTGGCTGCCAGAAATGACAACGACAGTGCAGCTGTGGTGACCAGAAATGACAACGACGAGTGCAGCTGTGTGGCTGCCAGAAATGACAACGACAAAGAGTACAGCTTTGTGGCGTGCAGAAATGAAGAGGAGAAAGGTGCTGCCTGTGGTGCAGCTGGAAAGGCGAGGAGAAATGGTGCTGCCTGCGGTGCGGCGCCGAAATCAAGAATAGAAATGCTGTGCTGTGGTGCTGAGGTGTGAGGTGAAGAATGCAAGAACAAGAATTCTGTGCTGCGGTGAGGTCTGAGGTGAGGGTGAGGGAAAGAATAGGAATGCTGTGCTGCGGTGGTAGGTCTGAGGAGTGCAAGAACAGAACTGCTGTGCTGCTGAGGTCTGAAAATCAACGGCCAGAAATTCTGTGTTGCTGCTGAGGTCAGTCAATGAACAAAATACCCTAGCGGCCCAAGTTAGGAGTGATATAGAGCCGTAGGAAGAAACGAAGCTTTCGAAGTAAAAAAGGTATTAAAAAAAGAAAGAAGGTATATTAAGATAATCAATATTCGGCTCAAATAGGCTCAATTTGAGCGTGTAAAGTAAGGTAGTTTTAGCATATAAGTAAGCGCATTTACTAGCGCATTCGACACGCCTAGTTACTGCATTTGAGCACGGATTTGAACACGTATTTGAGCAACGAAAGTATGCCCAAACGTGTTCTCTCTACCATTCCAAGCCTTTCTAGGCCCATGATAACTTGTCATAGGGTAGGAGGGACTCGCTATGGGATGGAAAGGAGCCGTCATAGAATAGGATACGACCGGTGATTACACATTGGCTCTATAAACTGGGGATATGTAGCATCTATATGAACCGTACTCAGCACTCAAAAGTAACTGAGTAATACGCCGTGAGCTAACCACATGTTGCCGCCTAGTAAACAACACTATTCAGAGATGGAAAAGGCCCTTCTCAGTCATACAACTCGTCGTCGCGAAGCGCCGGGTGCAGCCGTCAAGGCAGGCGGCGTGCGAGGTCCTCCGTTTGTGCCCGGTGGCCCTCATTAGCTACTCTCCGTAGAGCAGCTAGATTAAACGGCCTGTCAAACATAATGCTTTTCAGCGTACGAACTCGTGATACCGCTACATATGTGAGCCCTGATGTAAGAGAAGGTAGGTACGCCTGATCAAGGTGGTCACAACGTAGGTGTTGAAGTAAGAGAGCAATGACTGATACTGGCGAGAGACTTCAACCTGGCCCTCGCAAAGGAAAGAGACGAAGGCCTCTGATTATATACATGACAGGGTATAAGGCGGGCCTCTGACAAAGGAGTGAAGTCTAGGCCCGCTTCAAAAGAGTGAGTGAGTTGTGTGTGAGGAGGTTGGCGTTCCTTTCTTACAACTATTCCCCCCCTCGTAGATCGACGTTCTCGTCGATTAATCGTTCCATTTTTTATGCCTCTGCCTTGCTTTCTTTTCGTATTGTTGTAGCATCTTCTGGGCGTTGGCCAAGTGTTCTCTAGGTTCCCAGGTATTGTATTCGGCTAGCCAGCCTGCCCACCTAACCAGGAACCTCCTTTGCTCTCCTTTATCCTTATGTCCACAATATCTTCTACTTCACACTCCTCCTCTCCTTCGACTAGCTCTGATAGTGGTAGTACTTTCTGGCCTTCGGCTACCAACCACTTTTCTAATAGGGAGACTGGGAAGACATCATGGAGCCGGGCGTACTTAGTTAGCAGTTTGACCCGGTATGCCTGCGTGCCGATCCTTTCTGTGACCTTGACTGGGATGAATCTCGGTGCTAGCTTCTTTCCGGTTTTGAAGCGGAAGTTCTGTGTAGAGAGCCCAACCGTTTCTCCTACCTCGAACTCGATCCACTGGTGTCGTGCGTCGTAGTACTTCTTCTGTGAATCCACAGCTTTCTGCCAATGGTAGTACATCTTTTCCCTCAGGCTGGCTAGCTTGCTCAGCCGCTCATAAACCCCTTGAACCTTCAGCTGTGCTGAGGGTACGTAATCCACCATCCGAGGGTTATTGTCACAACCAGGGCAAGGCATTGAGGTTAACTCAGTCCATTGGGTGCTATCGACGAAGATTCTAAACTAAGGAGGGAAAGAAGGAAAAGTCCAACAACGCGTCGTGTGCGCGCGAACCAGCTTGCATCTATCAGTGGGGTAGGTGGGGCCTCGAGGAGGCTTCTGATAGGCCCGTGGGTTCTGGGCGGCTCTGGCTGCTTGAGGGCCAGTTTGGTGGACCGGTCCTCACACAAAGCAAGCGCGCCCCTCATAAACACTTTTTTTTGCTGACGAGTACAAAGTTCGCTGTAGGTATCCGCTGTAGACTTTTTGCCTTTCCGGCTTCCACATCACTCGATCTCCGCAGGCAAGCGCGAGCCCTATAGACAATTTTTTGCTGACGAGTTATAGCTTCTTTGCCAACAAGTTATGTGTTGGATTCACTAGGGTACCGCTACTGGAATCAACAGGGCGTAACTGTACGCCGAAAGCTAGTGGTTTAAGTGATGGATTGTAGATGTGTGTTCTCTCTAGCTTTCTGGCAGTGCCAGAAGCCCCTTCGTATACTACCATTGTGGTGGCGAAGTGGGTGGCGAAGTCTCTATCTAGAACCTTCGAGGCTCTTCTGCTTGACAAATTCTAACAGGATCATCGCTAATAGCCTCTCTCGTAGAGTGAGCTTGTGAGGCAGTAATACTGCTCTCTGTTGTTGTTGGACTAACTGTAGTAACCGCTGCCTCTTATATCCTCGCTCAACACCACTCTCTTCAGCCTTCAACCTTTCACGATGCTGACTTTTGAGGTGCATAGTCGCTGACAAAGTCGCTGCTGCATTGAAGGTCTTATTACAATACTGGCACGCCCACCAGTATGAGCCCTCTTCTACTGCGTTGTTGACGACCTTGGCCAGCCAGTCACCATGTCCGCCAATTTGCGACAATCTTGCTATTCTTTTTCCTACCCAAATCTCTGGTATAAAGGAACCATCTGGTGTTTTTATCGTGGGCCACTTTTACTTCTTTGTGGGCCAAGTCTGCTGGGTCAATCGCTGCCAGGCAAGGGTACTGCCAGGCAATTCGAGAAGTACGGTCTTGAACGTTAAGCGGTTGATTTTCTGCGTGCAGGCTGTTCGACGAGAGGGCCGCGGTATTGATAGTCGAGGCTCGCATATTGGAAGCGAGGAAGCAGCGAATTCGCAGTAGGAACGCAGGAAAGGAAGCTTGTTGACTTGGCGATAGTTACAGCGCTGCAACGCAGGTCGATAGCACTGCAGAAAAGCAGGTCAGTCTAGTTGAAGTTTTCCTTAGGCCGGAAGCCCTAGATATTACCAGGTTGGCCATGGCCAAATGCTGCCCTGAGCTCAGGAATGCAGGGAAAACTACGCCCAAAAAGAGCCCAAGCGATGGGAATATTTGAGCTAAACCCAACTCAAATAACTGGTCGATTTGAATTGAGTTGGGTTTAAAAGTGGCTTATTTGAGTTGGCTATTTGAGACGATTTGAGTTATTTGAGTTGACTTTATTTGAGTTGTTGGCAGCGCTGGTGTCAAGACAAGGTGAAGAAGGATGAAACCTCTACGCCAAGGTTGTGGTGTCTGGAATGGTATGTAAGTAAATCATAGACCCACATAGATGCTATATAAGCATAACATCTGCCCCTCTCCGAGATCAACTGCCCCCAGTTGATATCTACCATAGCCTGCTCAAATCAAGGTCTCTATGACCATTGGCGTTCCTGTTGAAGTTGGCGTCTTCCTTGTATTGAAATCCCAAAAATCTTGATATCTAGGCTTTTATGGCCATCAGATGAGCAAAGCTTCCTCCTGTTCCTCCAGTCCCTTTAAATTTTTGGCGGTGTTCCCACTTCTTATGCTCAATGCCATTCAGCTTTCTCTTTCTCACGATGAAATCCATTGCCACCCTCAATTGGCCTTTCAAGCTTGTGATTTCGTCATCAGCTTCGTTACCATCTCCTGCATGATACCCTGGTTGCCAACTTGTCCGACGAGGTCGTCGACTACTTCGGCAGTGCTATTCAGTCTCCTCGTGATCTGACTGATGTACTGTTCGCTGTTCTTTTGTTTTGCCTTGATGAGCTCAATGACGTCGCGCGTGTCATCGTCATTGATGTCTTCTTTGTCGTCAATCTTCTTTTCGGCTTCTGTGCTGTCGGCGTCCTCCTCGTCCTCAATTGCTTTTTCGTTCCCTGGCTAGTTGACCGCGCGACTCACTATCTGTTAGCTATAACTGTTGAATACCCGGTATCTAGACAGACCGATATTATCAGGCCGTCTGGGCAGGCTTTTACTTCGATCTTGCAGTAGGAGTTCCTGTGGATGCCGTCTCTAGTCTCTGTCGGGGCCGGCCTAGTATTTATGACGGTTCCCGAGATAAAGATTGAGGTCTTTTAGTCTTCCTTCTTTAGGGGAGTCCATCCCTTAGGCTTAGGTAAGATACAAGTGTTACCATAAATATGTCTTATTATTATACTCCTTGACGGGACAACGTCTTGATACTTCCGACAGGCACAAATATCGTTGGAGTTCGTGAAGTAAGATGACTGTGGCTACATACCGTTAGATTGACGTAGGATATTGTTGGAACCACTAGGTACCGGTACTAGAAACAACAGGGCGTGCTGCACGCCGAAAGCTGGTGGTTCAAGTGCTGGTCATTGTTGTCCATGTCTATCTAGAAGAAAGAAGTGGCCGTAGGCCACTTATATGGAATCTGGAACCTGTCACAAAGGAGAGGATTCGACTGGAATAACACGCAGTATAACCGTAACCTGTATTGTGGAATCTAAAGCTAAGGAAGGAAAAGGAAGGTGTTGCGGAGAGCGAGCAAGGCGCGGGGTTCTAGGTATGGTGCGTATTACGTGATAGGTACGCACAGACCACACTCCAGCACTACGTCATTGACACCACCTCGGCACCCGCCGTGACAGGACCCTTACGCCTCTACTGCCGCCTGTCTGGCTGATGAATGCGTTGCTGCAGCCACCTCTATGTGGCTGGAATGCGCGTTGTTCTAACAGGTATAGTTATATTGATTTCGATCGGAACAAAGCAAACAACATTGTGAAGCTTTCTAACCGGCCCTCTCTTTCGCCACATCTTCAACAACGCTTCTTTCTGCTTAGCGGAAACTGGCCGATGAAGTCATTGTCAAAGGTTCTTTCGAGGTCAGTCGACTTGCCGAGAATGAAGGCCTGCGCTGCTAGGTTGAGGATGTGGCCGAAGCAACGCACACGATGCTTCGAGGCTAGGAATCCTGGGAAAACCGGCTAAGGCCAGATATTAACGACTCCGAGGTAGGTTTTACTGCCTAGTCGTTCGAATCCACGTAGTCAAACTGAAAATGACCAACGTTATTATTGAAGCCGTAGTCGTTGACTAGCTGAGAGATGTAGAGAGCCTGGTTCTCGCCGCTGTGCTGGCTCTCGCCGCTGTGCTGGCTCTCGCCGCTGTGAGAGCCTCGAAGATGCGGCATTCCAAGCAGGTCTTGTTGTACGGCGCCGTCAATATCGGTGTAATGCACAAAGACCGCTAGGTAGGAAACTGTTGCGTTGGAAGTCCGAATATCGAACGAGAGGTGCTGGAAGGCAGGTTTGAGCCGACGACTAGATCGACGAGTTTCTCTTCTATAGAGAGCTTGTGAGGCAGTAAAATATGCCTCGCGCGCTTCGTATTGACTACCTCAGGTGTGCGTTGCCTTTTTCCTGGCTCTCAATACCAGGCTGGGAATTGGGTAGGTATGATTTGTGGTCTTTTTCCAAATGTATAGTTGCCAAGCTTGTTGACTCTGCCTTGAACAGCTTCTTGCAATAGTGGCATGCTCAGTAGTATTCTCCCTCGTTGACGGCGTCGTTGGATGACCAGGGCGACCCAGTAGCCGTGATCACGAATCCACCATGTCTTTTTTGGTGTTTTTCCTACCCACTTTTCTGGTATGAAGGACCCTCTTAGTATTTTTATCCTCGCCAATCCTTGACTTCAATTCCCGCTACATCTTTGAGTCCTGCTATATCTTTGAGATCTACTCCCTCTCAAGGAGCGCATCGAACTATCTAGCTACTCGTGATAGCTTCGGACAAAGAGAAGGAGGTAGATTTTCGGCGGTAGGGAGGCTGGTCAAGAGGGTCGTAACATCAACGGTGGAGGCAGGCATGTTGTCGAGGACTCGGGAGCCAAGGAAGCAGGGAAATCGCTGCAGGAAGGTAAGATTCGGCAGTTTGTTTACAGCGGGTGGCGATAGTTGCATTGCGGCGGCACGGCTTATTTGCCTACAAATATATTTTTCCTTATTTGATTGATTTGACATTTATTTGGATTGGTACCAGCGTTGGTATATATACTCTGGGGTCACTACAGTGTGCTCTGCAAGGCATTAAAGACAGGGCTTCACAACCATCGTAGCAGTCAAGGCAAGCACTGTTATTGCCGCGCTATGCGTTATGGCGGGAGATTAGAAAACATTTGCATCGGGTTCAGGGTCAGTATTAAGGCAGGTAGGCATCACAGTAGGAACAAGCGGTATTTATAATCGTTATTCGGCATTTGGTATCGGTAGTATCCCCTTACTACAATATAAGGTATAAGCTATTAGTGAAACCCGTTTCATAAAAACGCCGTAGACCCTGTGAGGGCCTGGTCCTCCAGGCCTCCCAGACGCTCTGACTAATCAGACGCCAGTTGGGTGGATCCACCCGACCAGCCAGAGCCTCACCTTGAGACGCCCTGGAAGAATCTCGCGAGGGGAGGCTTTTGAGCTTCTTTTCCCTTTTCCCGTTAGTTTAGAATCTTCGTCTATAGCGCCCAGTAGAGGAGTTCCGCTCTCATTCCAAGCCGGCCGTGACAGACCCCCGAGAATGATCCATCATTCAAGTCAAAGTAGTCCCATTATATGAAGAAAGAGTTATTATCCGCCCAGCCCCAAAACTAGCAAGCACCTCTCCCCGCCATGTCCATCAATGGAAACCCCGCACGAGGTCTCGCTTAGTTGCTCTCTCCGCGCAGGCGGCGGGCAAGCTGGATATCCTTAGCCTGGATGGTGACACGCTTAGCATGGATGGCGCACAGATTGGTATCCTCGAAGAGAGAGACGAGATAAGACTCGACCGACTCCTGGAGAGCGCCGATGGCCAAAGGCTGGAAGCTGAGATCCCACTTAATGCCCTAAGCAATCTCACGAACCTATAGATAGACGGTCAGTAAAGTGTTTTTGTGAGATGGCGATTGTGCCAAGCGCGACCGTGGAGTCGGCGATGGCAATCAGGAAGAAAACTTACCAGGCGCTGGAAGGGGAGCTTGCGGATCAGGAGCTCAGTCGACTTCTGGTAGCTACGAATCTCGCGGAGAGCGACGGTACCGGGCTTATAACGATAGGGCTTCTTATAAACCTCGGCCGCCGGGGCAGACTTGCGGGCAGGCAGCTTTCGCGGGGCCTTGCCACCAGTCCACTGCCGCGCAGTCTGCTTAGTGCGAGCCATTGTGTTGTTTGGTTGTCAAATTGATGACTGTGATGGTTGTTGCTTGTTGGTTGATGACGAGAGCCGGATAGTTGATGGATTGAATGCGGTGGGTGTGTAGCGTAATGGTGTGTGATGAAAAAGAGAAGGAGGAGGTGGGGGGTGCGAGGTTTATGTAGGCGGCTGCTGAGACATGTTGCCGGCTGATTAGGCTGGGATCACTACAGTTTATCTCAGTAAAATCAGACGTGTGGTGGTAGGAAGGGAAGGTGCGATCCCAATTAGGAATAGATTCATAGACCTGCTTTTTAAATAAATTTCAATCAACAGGATTTATTATATTCGAGCAACGGGATCAGGGCCACCACACGTCTGAGATCAATTCCGATTTTTCCCGCTTCGAGTTACGGATCAAATCAATTTCAAACGATAGTATTTTTCATATTCGAGCAACGGGTCAGGGCATCACACGTCTGAGATCAATTCCCGATTTTTCCCGCTTCGAGTTACGGATCAAGTCAGTCAATTGCGCGTTGTCAGAACGACGTGGAAGTGGATGGCGATATAGAGTTGGAGATATCATTCTTTGTCGAGGCGGGGACCGAGGTCTACGAGGGAATGGGGCTGGGTTTGGGGATCGAAACCTCCGTCTAATGGTATGGGGGCGAGACGAAAAATAAGCAGACTCAGTTATATTGCCCTCGTTGTCAGTCGGGTCATAGTATGACTCCAAATTGGACTCTGCTAACTCTTCTACCAAATGATATCCATGATCTATAAGCTCTTCCTCCTCATGCTCGTATCCGTCCATCCGTTTAACTTTGACCTCCTCTGCTAAGAATGCTGGTCCCTTCCGGTTGGGGCGCACCCAGCGACAATAGCGTCGCTCTTACAGCCAAGTCTAGCGACGGAAAGGTCTTCCATTCTTCTCCCGTCGACCTCGATATGTATATCCTCTGTCTTGACAATTCTGGGGCCGGTAGTTGTTCGGGTATCGCTCACGTCAATCTCCATAGTCTCGCTTACGATTATTCTCGCCCCTAGGGTATGGGGAGTTTTGTCTGCGGGGGCGTGTTTGATCTCGGTCCCGTCGAGGGCTCCAGTTCTCGCGGCCTCTGTCGTATCCTTAATTGCCAAAACGGCGGGGTGGTCCGTCGTTGTAGTAGTACGCTGGCTCCGAGTCCTGTCCGTAGTATGCTGGGGTAACCAGGATTTGTCTGTCCTTATTGATCTGTCGATCTCAGTTGACTACCAGTGAGTTTGTTGATAGGTTATTGAGGATACGAGATCTCGCATTTGTCTTCTCCTCTGTAAGAGAAGGCAGGTACGCCGGATCAAGGTGGTCACAATGCAGGTAAGAAGGTGGGCGAGCAATGAGTAGTATTGGTGTGAGACTTCAACCTGACCGTCACAAAGGAAGGTGGGCGAGGGCCACTGTTTATATACGTGCTCAGGGGCTCAGGCCCGGGACGCCATGGCGTGGCGTAGTGGCTTGTGCCAACTGGCAGTGTTCCGGCCAGTTGGTAACAGCTGGTGAGCGCGCACCCTGTGCGCGCGGCTGGTGTTTGAGGTGTCCTTTCCTTACATCCCCGACGCTGGTAAGGTAGGCGTCGATTGTCGTAGATGAGTCAGGTTCGAAGATGAGCTCTTGGATGGTGAGGTCGACTCCATTGTAGATGAAAGACAGGACACTGTGTGTGTTATTTATGCCCATAGCCTTGCAGAGACGAATCTTATTGGCTGCGTAGGACCTGAATTTGATCCCGGCTTTGCAGTCGGTAGCTGTATAGGTGCACTTGAGTAGTTGCTCTCCAGCCTCCGTTTTTGATAGTCCAAACCGCTTGATCATCACCGACTTCCAGAAGTTGAAGTTCTTCTTTAATTGAGCTCGTTCGATGTCTGACAGCACGCCGATGTAGCACTGTTGGGCTGTGCCCTTGAGCAGTTGACCCAAATCGCGTCTCAACACATCGCGACGGGCAGGGTTGGTGGCGTATTCCATCACGGAGTCAAAGAACATATTAATATCCTTATAATAGATGTCGTTACTAACGAGGGTCGACTCCTCGTTATTCGCTACCTCCACTTCAGGGTTATAAAATCCTGCAGATGTGATCTTCCAGCCCGAACCGACTCCTTATTTGCATTGTTTGAAGCCTGCCCATCTAGCTTTGCCGATAACTTGTTGAAGAATGCTTGTATGGCAGCCTCGGCATTGATATTCTGAGGTGGGGGAGGCGGACCTTCCTTACTTGGTGGTGCTATGTCTGGGTCTTTGAGGAAAGGGCTTGAGGTTCTTGACTCGTACTCTGGAAGGGTTGTCAACTTCTCTGGTTCGATGGTTTGAGCTCGATTGATGCTAAGATTGTGAGCTGCCAACTGTTCTTCGTACTGACGGATTCGGAGGTCGTACTCTCCTTCAGTAATATGATTGTACTCAATTATAGTACGCGGTCGGTTGTAATTTAGGGCAATGGGTCTGACCGCGGTTTTGAACTCCCTTGTCTTGTCGCTTCGCGGGGCAGGTGGTGCGTTGATCGAGAGTTGTAGGGTAGTCGAGAACTAATCAAGGTCAACTGGTGGAGGTGCTGGGATTAGGGCTTGTGACGGCCCGGGGCAAGCGTCAGGGTGACTGCCAGGGACGGTGCTGGCAGTGTTGTTAGCGAGTTGAGTTGCTGATTGTCTGGCGGGGCGAACTGTCTGAGATCTGATGAACTTGACAACTGTCGCTAATTCGGCTTTGACGACGTCTTTTTGGAGGACCCAATTCGAGTTGAAAGTGAGGGTCCGTCCTTGGTTCCGCCGTCTAGTGCCGAGCTGCTGTTCGTTTTGCTGGGTGATCTCGTTAATGACTGTCTTCGGTAGTTATTCGATGTAATTCTCGACGACCTCCATGGAGCTATAGTCGAGGGTATTTGCATGAACAGAGACGTAGTTCAAAATCTGGGCTACAAGAAGGTGCTCGCGGGGTTTACGATCTATGTGTTAGCAAGTCCAAAGGAAATGACGGGAGTCGACGTCAATCGGCAGATGGCCAGTCAACCAAGAGGCGAACAGGCCGGCCAAATGACCTGTGAAAGGGAAAAAAAGTGCCGATCCGGACAATAAGGTGCTGACAAAGTGGAGCAGAAAACAACAGTTCGATAATTGACCAGTGGGTTAACTAATGCAGATACCAGCAGAGTGATCTGCGGTGATCTACAGGTGGGGGAAACTGGTTTTTGCCGATTGTGGGGTCAAATGCGGGGTCCCAGGAAGCTTCCAGTAATCCAGTGCGAATTGAGATCCTATAATTGCTGTTTGGTGCGACCGTGTCAAAAATGAAGCAGTTGGTAGAAAAAGTGCTTCCAACGGTCGTATCAACGAGCAGATAGTCAAACAGGATAAGCTAGTGGATAAAACGATAATTGAAGTCGTCGACAGTGATAAAGACACGGTTCGATCAATGGGGATTGATAGTGGTTTGTGGAAAAAGAAGACACGGTGTCAATTCTGACAAACGCTTTCGGTGCAGTAAATGCGTGCGCGTGGAAGACTTGACGAAAAAGAGGTCAATTCTGGCCTGCGAAAATGAAATCCGGCGCCAAAGTGATTTCAATTGTATTGTATCGGGCCGCTACGATCGAAAAAGATCGCAGCTACCACTGTAATGCACTCAACAGGTGTCAACACTAGAAGGTGAAGAAGGATGAAATCTCTACGCTAAGGTTGTAGTGTCTGAAATAGTATGTGAGTAAATCATGGACCCACATAGATGCTTATATAAGCATAACATGCATTGTGCATAACAAAAACTTGTATACTACTATTCAGGGTACCGGTACTGGAAACAACAGGACGTGACGCCGAACTAGTAGTTCAAGTGGTGATTGTTCTGTATATATCTCTTCTGGTAAGCCAGAAAGCTCATTTCTATACGCTATTGTGGGCGAAATAGTAGCCAGGTAGGCCGCGAAGGAGGTCGCGGTTTAGGCTACGTAGCCGCGAAGCGGGCTGCAATCTCGCCTAGCTTCCAGGCCTACATTCTAAGTCTACGCCCTTCCCAAGTCTACGCACTTCAACCCTATCTGTGCCGCAGTTGTCTACGTCTCGAGCTTTGGTACAGTCCTATAGTGTAGTCCCTAGCAGTTGTCTGCGTCTTGTGAGGACCCGTCCACCAAACTGGCCCTCAAGCAGCCAGAGCCGCCCAGAACCCCGGGCTTATCAGAAGCCGCCTCGAGGCCCCACCTACCCCACTGATAGATGAAAACTTATTCGCGAGCACGCGACGCGTTGGTGGACTTTTCCTTCTTTCCTTCCTCAGTTTAGAATCTTCGTCGATAGCACCCAATGGACTGAGTTCACCTCAATGCCTTGCCCTGGTCGTGACACGTCTCAAGCTATGGTATCCCCAACTATGGTATCCCCAGCTATGGTGTCCCTAGCTATGGTATCCTTAGCTATGGTGTCCCCAGCTATAGTGTAGTCCTAGCAAGCTATCTCGTCCCAGCTAACGAGGTTATGTTACGATCCTGGCACAGGCGTGCAGGAGGCGCCTTCTGGCCCCCCTGCAGATTGGCTGGGGCAGCCAGGTGGGGTAGACCCACCTAGGGGCTAGTGCAGCCAACCAGGAGGTGGTCAGTCGCGACGAGCCGCCAAGGCTCGACTGACCACCACTGGCAGGACGGTCAACCAGTCAGGAAGCGGTCAGTGTGATCAGTGCGATCAGTGTAGACTGATCGCAGTGATCGCCCTGACCTTTGGAGAAGGACTCTGATTGGTCCGCCTTAGATAGATATATACGACGACCGTAGCCACGGTCTTAGATAGTTCTTGCTTGGTTCTTCAAGCAAGCAATACACATTCACTGCACTCATACACTTTGAGTGGCATTCCGATTTGACTGTATTACCCGTGCGATAGGAGCTTGCCCTTTGTTCTATCTTCATAATTACCAACCCCAGCATTCTGTGGAGCCCGTGCTCCCTTACAGACAGACGACCCTAACAGTCGAGTGGTTTGTAATAGGTTAGCGTACGCAGGCATAACCTAGCAACAACTAGCGAATACAATTAGATACCAAGATGCTTTCTGGGCTTGTGCCGGTGAGCGGGTGTGCTAGCATAGATGGCTGGCTGGGGCACTTTGATTGCGAGGGTGTTGCTGCGAGGGTGTTGCCGGGAGCGGTGTTACCGCGCCGTGTTGGACGAGTCTTGCCGCGAGTCTTGCTGCGAGTCTTGCCGCTCCGTCTTACCCATCCCGTCTTGCCGTGTTACCGCCGTGGCCCTATAGGTCGGCCATTTTCTAAGTCCATCTTTTTGTGCGCGGGGCACGGGCCAGGCCTTGGGCGAGCTATTGTCTTGCCCGGGCGGGCTGTTGAACTTGTCTTGCTCGGTATACCAGCTACTATGCTATATAAGCTGGTGGCTAGGCTGCTATGTGGACTGGTGGCTAGGTGCGAGCGGTTGCTGCGCCGGCTGCTGTGCTGTGGGCGTGGTATCTGGCGTAGTATTGCCCCGTCTGCGTGCCTAGCTGTCGTCTGGCGTCGGCTTGTCGCTGGCTGCTGGACTTGTTGCGAGGTTTGCTAGGCTGCTAGGCTGTTGACTGGGCGCGCGGTTGCTGCGGCTTGTCTGGTGTTGCGGCGGCTGCTGGGGCGGGTGTCTGTCGTGTGCCCATGTTTGCCCCTCGGTCCCGTTTTTGGCGCGCCCCAGCCGTTGACGCTGGGAGCCCGTGGCAGTCGACCGTTGACGCTGGGAGCCGGGCTCTAGGCAGACCGGGAGCCTGTGGCAGTTGACCGTTGCGCTCTTTAGGCTGGGAGTAGAATCCCCCGGCTGACAGATGGCCTGGGCTGACGGATAGCCTGGGCTGAAGGATGCCTCGGCTAACGGAAGCCTCGGCTAACGGAGGCCTCGCTAACAGATGGCCTCTGGTCGAGCACCTCTTAGCGTATTTGGGTTTTTCTTGATCATATCTTCTGGTACGCCTATACTTCTTGTTCCGGTCCTCCCAGACATACCCTGAACGTGGACCGGGGCCCGGCAGCGATTCGCCGGCGGCATTGTCGTGCTGGCCTTGAGGATGATGTGTTTAGAGTTACACCAGTTGGCGGCGAAGAAAGGGCTGTGCGCAGAAAACAGGCGAATCGATGGGTAAAGTCAGCACCAGTGACAAGCATGAGCGGGCGTGCCGTCCGCCCTGCCCTGTGTTGTGGCTTGCGGGCAGCTTTGTTTGGCTGCTCGCCCGTATCGCCGGTTGCCTTCGGCTGCTTGCCGAGCTTCTGTAGAGTCTGGTTTGACACCTTAGAGTCAGCACCTGCTCGTGGAACCTGCTTGTCGGTACGGCTCCCACCCTACGTAGAGTATAGTTTGGGCTATCAGGCTCTGTTTCCGGGCTTTTCCTTTTATCCAGAATCCGTCAGAGGCCTTTCAGCCTTGGAAGGCAGAGCTCGAGCGCCTCCATCCTATCCAGACCCTAGGCGGGGACTGCGGTTATTGCCTACTATTGGTAGATGAAGAGACTGCGGTTGTTGCCTGCCATTGGTAGGTGAAGAGACTGCGATTGTTGCCTGCCATTGGTGAATGGAGAGACAAAAGACCAGAGACGAAGGGCTCAGGAAGTATAGTTGAGGCTCGCGTCTTGTCAGGTCGCAACCGCTTCTGAAGCGTGTTTCGGTTGTTTGGTCAGAGGCACGGCTACTAAGTGAATGAATGCAAATGTCTAAAATATAGGCCGCAGACGAAGCGCGAGGTTGAGGGACCACGGGGCGCAGAATGCGGTTGGGACCTGAGGGAGGTCCGTAGAATGCGGTTGGTGCGTAAGCTTTCGTGTATGGGCTTTCGTGTGCCGCCAGGCGTTGTGGGCGAAGTGCGTGGGCTTTCGTGTGTGCCAGGGCGTTGTGGGCAAAGTGCGTGAGCTTTCGTGTGTGCCGCCAGGGCTTCAGGATGCGCCGTCGATTGGGAGAACCAATATGAAAGCGAAGGGACTCAACCTTTCGGCGGAAAGGGACTCAACCTTTTGGCGAAAAGGGACTCAACCTTTTGGTAGAAACGGATAACTAGAAGACTCGCTATCTGGGCTGCGCCGGAAGTGATGGTCTGGATAGTGGAAGAACTTGTCAGCAAAAAACAAGTGTCTACAGGGCTCGCGCTTGCGTGGGGAGCTAGCATGGCAAAGTCCACAGCCGGGGGTGCGGCGAACAACTTGACTCTCCCGGCCACCTATGGCTTCCTACTCGCGATAGGCGGATATTGCCAGTCAAGGGCAACGTTCCGATGCTGCACTCTTAGCTCGTCCCGTTATGCTCTTCGTTGGGGCTTAGACATACTTTTTTTTTTCACAATCCTACAACGTCGTCTTGACTTAACAACATAGCAATGAAGCCGCGGGATAGAGGTATTACAAACCACTCGACTGTCAGGGTCGTCTGTCTGTAAGGGAGCACGGGCTCCACAGAATGCTGGGTTGGTAATTATGAAGATAGAACAAAGGGCAAGCTCCTATCGCACGGGTAATACAGTCAAATCGGAATGCCACTCAAAGTGTATGAGTGCAGTGAATGTGTATTGCTTGCTTGAAGAACCAAGCAAGAACTATCTAAGACCGTGGCTACGGTCGTCGTATATATCTATCTAAGGCGGACCAATCAGAGTCCTTGGTGTCTGCGCTCCGTGGGTCCAGGGCGCTCTGCTCGCAGAGCGCAGGGGCCCCACAGAGCGCCCGCTCCGTCCGCTCTGCTGGTCTTGGCAGCTAATCAGGCAGAGCGCTTCCTGGTTGGCCGCACCCACACGGGGTGGGGTCTGTCCGTCTCCACCACGTCACCCAATCACGGGGCGGAAGCAGGGCGCCTCATGCACCCTGAACCAGGATCGTAACAAGAGGACAAATGGGCCGTGTTTTTTTTTGGCGTCAGCTACGGCGTCTCGAACCGCAAAAACTTAGAGCTCAGAGCTGGCTAATTGGTGCATGAATTAGCTGCGGGGTGGGATGAAAAGATAGTAGAATGGTGCTCCGGGGTGGGATGAAAGGGCAGTAGAATGGTGCTCCTTGGAACTGGTCAACTGATAGAGTGCAGTATGGTACTGATTCTGGGAATGTCAAGACTGATGCAGAGTGCAGTAGAATGGTGGCTCGACTTTTGGAATTAGTCAACTAATAGAGTGCAGTATGGTGCTGATTCTGGGAATGGTCAAGACTGAAGAAAGATACAAATGCTGACTCCGTTGAACGGAAAACAGTCCGGACGCCCGTTGGCTCTTGCCTGCGGTGCCGGTAGCTGTTGCCTGCTGTGTCAGCCCGGTGGTACATTCTTGTGGATGGTCAAAGACTGAGAAAAAATGTAGTGGAATGCTGCTCTATTCTCCGCCCAAGACGGCCGTTGGCTCTTGCCTACGGTGCGGGTGACTATTGCCGGCGCCGTGCTAGCCCGGTAGCACATTTTGTGAATGTCAAGACTGATGCAAAGTGTAGGGGAATGGTGGCTCGACTTTTGGAATGGCCAAGACCAGCAGAGTGCAGTATATGATGATTCTGATGAATAGTCAAGACTGAAGAAAGATGCAAAGGAGACCTGAAGGGAAAACAGTCTGGCTGACGCGTTGGCTCCTGCCTGCGGTGCCCGTAGCTGTTGCCTGCGCCGGCTAGCCCGTGGCTCGTTTTTGTTAATGTCAATACTGAGAAAAAGAGCAGCAGAATAGCAGCTCCAATCTTGGAATTCTTGGAGTGGCAGAGTGCAGTATGGTGTAGAGTGTAGTATGGTGCAGAGTGCAGTATTCTAAGAAATGGTCAAGACTGAAGAAGGATACAAAGGGGAAAACATGGTTGAAGAAATGGTCAAGACTCATGAGGGGAAAGACAAAATGCCCGAAGGGAAATCAGTCCAGACGCCCTTTAGCTCTTACCTGCGGTGCGGTGGCTGTTGCCTGCGCCGTGCTAGCCCGGTAGCACATTTGTGAATAGTCAAAGACTGAGAAAAGGGGCAGCAGGATAGCAGCTCTATTCTTGGAATTTGCCAAGACTGGCAGAGTGCAGTGTGGTGCTGATTCTGGTGATGGTCAAGACAGATGAGGAGAGAGAGAAAATGCCCAGATCGAAGGGAAACATTCCGGACGCCCGTTGGCTCTTGTGTTGCGGGGCCCAGCCCTTACCCTAAGGCTAGTATAAGCATAGGCCAAGTGCCCCCGCAGGAGGTTTCGCTCACATATTTAGTATGGGGATTTCCCCCTCCTAGAGTTAGTTAGCCAATGCACCTTTTCCATCATTGTCTCCCACACATCTTGCCTGCTGTGCCGGTGGCTGTTGCCTCCTGTGCCAGCCCGGCGGCACTTTTTGGTAAATGGTAATGATGTAGAGTATAGTGGTAGCAGATTCTGGTGATTGGGCAAAGACTGAAGAAAAAATACAAGAAATGCCCCGACCGTGTTGAACGGAGTCCGGACGCCCGTTGGCTCTTGCCTGCGGTACCTCAATTCTTAGAATTGGGCAAGACTGACGGAGAATGCTCCATTCTTGGAGTGGCAGAGGCAGGGGGCTCGCTCTTGCCTTGGCGGGAAACTTCTTGGCGGGAAACTTGTGTTCAGCAAATAACTTGTGTGCTACTCGGTAAAAAACTCATATTTAGTAAAAAACTTATCTACTACTCAGCAAAAGACTTGTACTCGGCAAAAGACTTGTATTTAGGAAAAACCTTGTGCTACTCATATACTGCTCAGCACGACTTTGTACTACCCTTCTCGGCAAGTACTTTTAGCAGGAAACTTTACTCGGCAAACTTGTCTGCCTCAGCGAACTTGTTCTGTGGAGGAAGGGTCGGCAATTTTCTGTGCCTCAGCGAACTTGTCCTGTGGAGGAAGATTTGAAAAGTACTACTCTTCTCAGCAAGTGTAGTGCCGCCAGGCGTTGTGGGCGAAAATTCGGCAATTTTGCGCTGCCTGGGCGATGTAGGCCTGTAGAAATGGTAATTTCCAGGGCTTTAGGGTGCGCCGTCAATCGGGAGAACCAATGTGGAAGCGGAGGGACTCAACCGCTAGCTAGCTATTTGCCCGCTGTCTGCCCGCTACCCACCCGCTACGCTACACCTACCGCCGACCACGCCGCCCGCCACGCCGCCCCAGACCGCCCTCTAGTCTCTCGGCACTCTCCCACACCCCCCCACCAGCCCACACAACAGCAGACCTCGCAACAACCGCGTGCGCCCAGCCAACAGCCCGCTGAAGGCGAGCACGACAGCCAGACGCGAGCACGACAGCCAGATAACCGCGCGCGCCCATCTACCAGCCCACAGTAGAGCGACAACAAGTCAATAGCCCGCCGGACAACAGCCAGACAACCGTCGGCGCCCAGCCAATAGCCCGCCCAATGCGAGCACGACGCCGGAAAAGCCGCAACAACCGCTCCCGCCCAGCCAACAGCCCACACAGCAGCCGCCGTAACACGACGCCAGCCACCACGCTCACACGGCCAGCAGCCGCCGCTGCAACCGCTCGCACCCAACCACCAGCCCACAGCAGAGCGACAAGTCCAACAGCCCGCTCACACACGACAGCCCGCCCAGCAGCCCAGCGACAAGCCGACGCACCTAGATAACCCGACGACAGCCAGGCCACCGAGACAAGCCGCAACAAACGCACGCCCAGCTACTAGTCCAGCAGCCTGGCAGACCTCGCAACAAGTCCAGCAGCCCGCCCAACAGCCGCTCGCGTACAGCCAACAGTCCAACAGCGAGCCCTCGCAACACAACAGCCCGCGCAACACGACGCCAGACACTACGCCCACAGCCAGCAGCCCTCGCAACAATCGCTCCCACCAGCCACCATGCCCAGCAGCCAGCAAAAAGACGCCAGACACCACGCCCACAGCACAATAGCCCGCCGGACGCGAGCACAACAGCCCGAGAACCGCGCGCGCCCAGCCAACAGCCCGCCTTCTTCTCGGGGGTGCCTCACCTAACATAGAAAGGCATGGCAGGGCGTAGAAGGAAAAAGGAAAGATGACGTCTTCGCCCGGCCGTGGTGTGGAACCCTCAGTTTTTGCTGCCGTGCACGGACTAACCTGGTTTCTTATAAAAGAAGCTGCCCTCCGCTCAACTCTTCCTCCTTTTCTTTTTCTTCAGCCTTCGGGCATATGGTCACATTCAGTCAATACAGAGACGATTAGCATGGCCCCTGCACTAAGGATGATACGCTATCAAAGAGAGCATTACAATTTTTTTTCACTGTAATCATGGCTTTTAGTCGTGGTATGGAGAAGAAACTGTCTGCTAGATTTCCCTTAGTTTGCCGAAAGAAAACAGTCCGGACGGCCGTTGGCTCTTGCCTGCGGTGCCAGCCCGTGAACTGTGGGACAGTTGGATGTATTATACACAGGTACGGTAGTCAGGCGCAAGGTTACTGGAAGGAGAAACGTGTTGAATTCACCATATGGAATCTTCTAGTGGATGATAAATACTAGATTATTCAGCTGATGTGAGCCAAAATTGCCACACAGCTCGCCACCACTCATATTGTTACAATCTGGACAACAGGTCCACGGAGCTAGGCCCGGCCTAGGATTGTGGGGGTCTGGACGGCAGGTAGGAGATGACAGGAGACAAGGAGTATCGTGCACAGATTGCGAAAGACAGGCTTTCAACACACAACCAATGTATGCTTAACCAGATGCATTGATAGCTGCAGAACCGTTCTCCAGAGAGAGCGTGCTGCCAGCTCCTATATAGAACTATGAGCAACCAATCAGAGTTCCTGCCTTACATGCTCAGTCGTGCTCAGTCCTAGACGCACTGATCCCCACTGAGCTCCCTGCTCAGTGCGCTCAGTGGGTCTCGGCACTGATCCTACTGAGCTCAGCCATGCTCAGTGCACCTTGGCAATGGCCCCACTGAGCACTCCCTAATTGGATGCACCTTCTCTTAGCGAGAGCCCCACCCTAAGTGCCGTTCCAGCCAATCCGCAGCGGGCGGGCAACGCCCTCTGCACCTTTGAACCAGGATCGTAACACATATGTATAAAACCTGCACCTCTGGCTATGCCAGAGGGGAGAAGAAGAGAAATGGAACAGAACATAACACTCCATTTTTTTTTGGTCTGAATGTAAAATCCAACAAAACGACAGCGGGTGGCACATTTTGTCAATGGTCAAGGCTGGCAGAGTGTAGCATGGTGGCTCTGTTTTGTGAATGGTTAGAGACTGAAGAAAAAGGGGGAAAATGCCCCGACTCGGTCGAGGGAACTCGGCTCGACAGTCGGGCTCGTCGGGTTGTTGCCGAACCGCCCTGTCGTTGTTGCCAGAACTGCCGCAACCCACGGACGAGAGCTCGATGGCGAGCTGTCGGCCTGTCTCGCAATCCCGTCCGCCCGCGGCAGCGTCCAGCGCGTGGTCCGCCAGGCCGTGCCAGGTTGTGCCAGGCTGCGGGCCAGGTAACATGTCCGCCAGGTTGTCCTGCTAGGTTGTGTCCTCCTGGGTTGTGTCCTGTGTCCTGCCGGGTAACTTGTCCGCCAGGTCGTGTCCGCTAGGTAACTTGTCCGCTAGGTTGTCCGCCAGGTTGTACAGCTGTATTAGGGCCATCTGGTTGCCGTCTCGCTAGCTTGTCCTTGCCAGCTTGTCCGGGCGCGTGAGACTGCATAAAGCTGTGAGAGCGGCGTTTGTCTATTGCTGCGTCCGAGTCGGTTCAGTTGTCGAGCAACCTCACCACTGCCACCACTGCTCACCTCACCACCCCCCACCCACTGCTCACTTCATCACTGCCTCCACCACTGCCTCACCTCACCACCTCCCACCACTGCTCACTCCACCACTGCCTCATTTCACCACCCCTCACCCACCACTCACCCCCTTTGCCCGCTCGCTGTTGTCCAAGACGCGACTCGTCCGCCTGCCCTCGAGACCCAATAACGCGTCCCGTCAACTGCACAAACATGACACGTGTCAACTGCACACAACACCACCGTCAACTGCACACAACACACCTACCGCCAACTGTACACAACACCACCGTCAACTGCACACGACATCACACCCTCAACTGCACGCCCGATAGGCCGCCGTGCTTCTACGATCGCGCGTCGTCGCAATCTGAATAAACCTAGGTGCCGCCCTTGCTGCCCTTTGTTCGTTCATTCTCGCGCCAGCTTTGCCTCTCGCGCTAACCTTTCTCTGAAGCCGACAGCCCGACGGCATAAAAGTGTGATCCCAACCATAAGGTGCGCATCCCACCATAAGCCGCGAATCCGAATAATCCCACGTTGCCGCCCTGCTACCCTGTTCCTTGTTCTCGCGCTCACCTCTCTGAAGCCGTCAGCTTGACAGCATAAAAGTGTGATCCCAACCACAAGGTGCGTATCCAACCACAAGTCGCGAATCCGGATAACCCAGGTGCCGCCCTTGTTCTTTTCCTCTCCCGCTAACCTTGCCTGTGAAGTCGACAGCTCGACGCATAAAAGTGCTTGTCCCAGCCACGAGGTGCGTATCTCAGCCAGTCGCGAATCCGAATAACCCAGGTGCCGCCCTTTTCCTTGTTCTCGCTGACCTTGCCTGTGAAGTCGACAGCTCGACGTATAAAAGTGCTTGTCCCAGCTACAAGTCGGAATCCGAATAACTCAGGTTGCCGCCCTTGCTACCCCTCGTCCTTGTTCTTGCTAACCTTGCCATGCCGACAGAAAGTGCTATCCCGACCACATCGCCAACATGTGTCATTATTATCGCACCTTCTGCAGAGACTGCTCGGCCCTTGTCCGTTTTCTCTATGCTCGTTGCGATAAGAGCACCCGGATCCCACACTCGCCCAACTGCAGCAACGTCACCGTCTTGACCAATGACCTTTGTCACAAGTGCAGCGATTCGGGCTATTGCTCGGGTTCAGACAGTGGCCACTATTGAGAGTCTGCCAAGCCGACAAGGCGATGGGGTGAAGAGTGGCCAATATCGAGACTGTCTGAGGTCGACAAGGCGATGAGGGTGAATGGAGTGAAGGGTGAACGGGGAAGGGTGAACGGGGAAGGGTGAACGGGGTGACGGGGTGACGGGGTGACGGGGTGACGGGGTGACGGGGTGACGGGGTGACGGGGTGACGGGGTGACGGGGTGACGGGGGTGAAGCGTGAACGGGGGAACGGGGCATGAGAGCAGGAAGCCCACCCGCACAGCACACTCCCATGTATTTAATATGGAAGTTACCAATAACACACGTTCTCCCAGCCATTCTCAAGTCGTTCTCCCAGCCATTCTCCCGGTATTCTCCTAGGCATTCTCCCAGGATTCTCCCAGCCATTCTCCCAGTATTCTCTCAGTCATTCTCCAGGCATTCTCCCAGTCATTCTCCAGTCATTCTCCTAGTCATTCTCTAAGCATTCTCCTAGTCATTCTCCTAGTCATTCTCTAGGCATTCTCTAGGCATTCTCCAGGCATTCTTCCAGGCATTCTCTAGTTATTCTCCTCTAACCTGTGACCCGTACCTCGGACAGAGCGACATGCATCCAGTGCTCGACAGAGTGACTTGTCTAGTGCCTCGACAGTGACATACATCCAGTGCTCAACCACGGCACGTAGGCCAACCACCGCACCGCGTAGACCGTGAAGTTGATGCCTCGCTGCGAGCAACGGCCAACTGCGGTCAGCCCGACTGGGACTATTGACGAGTGGAGCAAGTCCGTTCGACTGCGCATTTCTCGCCTTTGTATGCCATCTTCGGTCTTGCCATTCACAAGAAGAGCCACCGTCTGCACTACTTTTTCTTTTTCTTCATCTAATCGGGCCATCATTCTGCTCCACTTTCCTACGTCAGTCTCGACCAATTACAAAAATCGGGCCACCAATACCCACTTCTTCTTTGTGTAATCACAAAATCGGACCACCAGCACCCACATTTTCTTCCTCTAATTACAAAAATCGCACCACTAGTACCCCACTTTTCCTGCTTTTTCTAATCAGCAAAGGTAGAGTTTAACCTCGACGCTTTCCATAACTACCAAAAGGATCACGAACACGAAGGCGCTCAGCTGGGGTTGATGCCTTGGGTCACTGGATTTACCAGATACCGGTACTGAAAGCAGAGCGTGGCTGTACGTGGTGGTTCGAGTGGTGTATATCTTCTGGCACTCTAGAAAGCCCCTCTCATACTGCTATTGTGGTAGCGAAGACGCTGCGAGGCCGCAAAGACGCTGCGAGGTAGGTCGCGATGGCTGCAAATCCTCTGCCTGGCTCCCAGGCCACACCAACACCTGCGCTTTTCCTATCAGTCTCGACTGATTCCGAATCGAGCACCATTCACCCTGTCACGGTCGCCACAGGGCTCATGTGACAGGATTGATTCTATTGGCTGCATTGTGCTTAGGGTGTGGCCTGTGCGCACTGAGCACCACTACCTATTTCTCCGCGCCCTGCGCGGACCCGGCGATAGATTCCTTTCTCTTCCTTAGCTTTAAATCCACATTCGTTACTGCCTTCAACCATTGACATCCCTACTGCGTAAGGCGGGCCGTCACACACCCCGTCACAGAATCGAGCACCATTCTGCCTCAGTCTTGACCAGAATCGAGCACTCTGCACTAGTCTTGACCATTGACAAAATGTGCCACCGGGCTGTCACTCCCTCTCCAGTAACCTCGCTTGTGATTACCGCCCTGCCTTTGGAGTGGACAATGTAACTGCCTCCCACAGCTCCACCGCCGGGCACGGCAAGGGCCAACGCCGTCAGCAATAGGGCGGTTCTAGCAACAACAGGGGCGGTTCACGGGGCTACGAACAGCTTGCATGTGCTGGGCCTGCGTCTTGATGTTGGCGAACAGCATGTAGATTGCCATGCTACGTCTTTCTAGACGGGGGTGACTGTGGTGTCTCTGCGTGCCTATGTTGCTGGGTATTCTGATGTAGTGGCGGTGAGGCTTTGGGAACAAGCTTTCGGGGACTGGGACATGCTTCCGGGCTGGGAATAGGGAGGAAGGGGAGTGACTACGAGTGCGTGCTTGCATGTGCTGGGCCGTGTTGCTCGCTGGGTCTTTCCTGGGGAGGGAGTGAGGACTGGGAACATGCTTCCAGACTAAGAATAGGGGGAACAACGGAGTGACTACGAACGTGCGTGCATACATGTGGGATATGTTGCTGCTGGGTCTTTCTTGGGGAGTGAGGCTTTCAGAGTAGAGTGACTACGAACGTGCGTGCATGTATGTGCTGGACGTTGCTGCGTCTTTCCTGATGCACGTCGGGGGCAAACAGGCTGGCATGTGCTGTGCTGCTCCCTCGGTCATTCCTGATGCATAGGGCGAATGGACAGTGTCTGGTCTCCCGACATGGGACGTGTTGGATTACTGCACTTCAGGATTTTTTACTGGCTTCAATTGATTGTCTTCTCTATCTTCCTGGCTTTCTGGCAGTGCCAGAAAGCCTCCTTCTTATACTACTATTGTGGTGGCAAAATAGGTGGCAAAATGAGTGGCGAAGTAGGCCGCGAATCCTTTGCCTAGCTCCTTCACAGCCCACATTCCAGCATGTTCCATCTGACAGGACGCATGTGGGGGTTGCTCGCTACGTCTTAACAGCTTCACGGAGCACGGCCCACGGAACACGGCCCACGGAACAACTGACAAGTCTTGTTTTGCTGACGGCTCCCAATCTGGGCTACATGTGCTGTGTTTGCTGGCGTCTTTCTATCTTCTTTCTGCGTATACGTTGACGTGTTGTTTTCTTGGCACGGCCCTCCTAATCTTCTGGGCTGCCGTCTTTCTTCTACCATTGTTACTTGCCGTCTTGTTTTGCTGACCTTCCAAATCTTCTGCCTGCACCATTGTTCGGCGTAAATGATGGCAAGCTTGTTTTTGTGGCTGACGCGGTTGTCCCGTACACTGGGGCATTGTTTTGGCGTCTTTCCAATCTTTGCACTGTTCTGCGTCTTCTAATCTTTGCACTGTTCTGCGTTTTTCCAATCTTTACACGGTTCTGCGTCTTTCTAATCTCTTAATCTTTGCATGTTCTAGGCCTTCTAATCTTTGCATATTCTTGGCTATCCAATCTTTGCATGTTCTGGGTCTTCTAATCTTTGGCTCCTCACCCTACTATGGCGAAAACAACCATGCGCAGGAGCCAACGGCCGAGAACATTACCGTGATGCAGGGGTTTGAGTGGTATGTGCCTGCCGATCAGAAGCACTGGGTGCGCCTGAAGAAGCAGGTGCGCCAGCTGAAGCAGTGGGGCATCGATAACATCTAGCTGCCTCCCAGGTGGGTTCTTTCCTTTTCTGTCTTTCACGTCGATCAGCGGTGAGAAGCACTTTGTAAAATGTAGTACTAGAACTGAAATTACCAGATGTAAGGGATCGTCTAAGGACGGCAACGGATACGATATCTACGACCTCAACGACCTGGGCGAGTTCGCCCAGAAAGGGTCCGTGGCCGGCGCAGAAAACAAAGACGCGCAGGGGCACGAGCAGGGCCGCAAGGTTGCGGCAGAACGAGGCACACGCACTGGGGCGTCGACGTCGGCCAGCGGCAGCAAGGGACACGCAGCAAGGGACACGCACGTTAACATAGTCGTCTAAGTTGTAGCCCATAGGTAGATTTTAATCGAAGTCTAGCTAATGTTCATAGTCGGGCTGTCAGCAGAGCCCCCGACAATGTCCAGCTAGTGGTTAGGATCAATATTGCTCCTAAGCAGGATTGTGACACTGCCAAAGGTCCTAGCAGACAAGATTATGCGCTCCGAGACGTTTGTGACGTTTACGACTCCCCAGTATCCGCCGTCCCTAAAGGCTTCAACCTTGAGGCTAGTGACATGGCCACCACCGCTATACGGTAGCCCGCCGCCGCTGGTTACATCTAGACGCTCCGCTGCTCCCTAGTATCCGCCACCGCCACGAACACGCCGAACCGCGCCAGGTCTCGGTTTAGCCGCAGCACTGCGTGCATGTGCACGTACATATATGATATGACGTCCATTGTTGATATGTGTGTGTGGTCGCTGTATAGTGTTATATAGTCAGATAGTGTTGCTTAATATACGACATATATCTGCGGAATGGGATTACTTACTATGTTAACGCGTGATTATGTTGTCGAGGTTGGTGTAGGTTGTCTGTGGCAAAGACTCGAGATAAGAGTGTGCTTCTTTGTGTGAAATCTTAGACTGACTGACTAGCTGGCTGAATGTAAGAGAAGGCAGGTACGCCTAATCAAGGTGGTCACGATAGAGGGAACAAGAGGGCGAGCAATGACTGGCATTGGTAAAAGACTTCAACCTGGCCCTCGCAAAGAAAGGTGGGCGAGGGCCACTATTTATATATATAGTTGGGTGGCTCAATCTGGCGGGTGCCTGGGCCGGGTGTTTGAGGCCAGCTGGTAGCGCCTGGGCCGGACCGGGCGTTTGGGGTGCTCTTTCCTTACACTGAAGATGACGACCAACGGATATTGCAGCTTTCCTCAACATGGTTACTTTATGAATTCAGCCATTCTTTACTTGCAGCCTTGCCACTTATATTTGACTGCCTTTACAGTAGTCGCAATCCGCTGTGCCCGTCTTGGGTTCTTCATATTTGGAAATGTCGACAATATCCTCAGAGCCAAGCAATCGTCCTTCGTTCTATAGGCGAAAATCTAGAATAGATTTTCCGAGCAGCAGAGAGTCTAACGTAAGAAGGGTCTACCTCTTGTGCGCCAGCCGCACAACAACGAGATATGGATCCAAACAGTGGACGATTGGGGCGACAATACAGGCGGCTGCAATCTGCAATGCAAAGAGATTCGATACTTGGCCAGCTTTGGTAGTTGGTTGGGAGTTGGGTTTGCGAGAAAAGACGCCCTCTTTATCCTGTTGCCTATCTGATTGACCACGCAGATGGCCAAGCCAGTTCTACCATCACCGCTTCGATGGCGCGATTTGTTGCCATGCCCTTGGTTGGTGTTGTCGTTGCTGGTACGTCCCTGTTCTTGAGCCTGTTAAGGCTGCTGAGGGAGTCGGCTTGCATCCTTGTCTAATGGGATCGAGGTGGTCCTGATCGCAGCCTGGATCATAGAGCTTCCTCCTCCCTCACAGATTGAAGGAGTTCCTGCTTGTTGAAATCACCAGGTACCGGTACTGGAAGCAACAGGGCGTAACTGCTCGCTCAAAACTTGTGGTTCAGGTGATGGATTAGTTGACTTCTGGCTGCAGAATTTCTGGCAACCATGCCCGCACCGGAGACTATTCTTGCAAGCATGACTGCAAGGAAGGCCAGCGTATACAGTCTGATGACACTTTAGAGTACACGGGTATCTACAGTGTCGAATCTCTTTGTATTGCAGATTGCAGCCGCCTGTATTGTCGCCCCAATCGTCCACTGTTTGGATCCATAAGTTAGGTGGGGGAGTAAGGGCCTGATCTTCTCAAACTCGGCAAGTTGCCAACTCTTCGAAAAAAGGACTTCCAGTGGCTTCGTCAAAGTGGATCTACCAAGAAGTAGTGCATTAGTGCCAGTCAGCCACACTATACCGTAACAGTAAGGCGGTCAGAGCGGTATTCTCACCGCCTTTGGCCACTGAAGTTGATCCTGGCCATGTCCGAGTGCGATGCCCGAGAAGTCCTTTTTTGCAGCCAAAACGACGTACAATGGCATCTTCGAGCGACAGCCAATTGGACCTCGAGCCAGTGATTGATCTTACTGGCGCACCGGGAGCCCCCGAAGCCCCTGAGTCGGCCAGCGACTGGCTTGACAACCCCCTTCCAGAGCCCCGCCTTTCCGACTTGCCAGCAGAGTCGCCGCTGCGGTTTCCAAGCCCAGGCACTATAGTAGCCATAGTCGACGACCCAGGCCGACGGTCGACGGCTTCCAATAGTATTTTGGCGGCAGAGTCGTCCAGCGAGTCCCCCCTTGCGTCCACGGCGCCCCCTAATGCCGGTGCATCACGAAAGCGCCCGGCCCCGAAGAAGGAGTCTACCAATAAGCGGCGCGGCAAGCAGTTGGTTGATTTAACCGATACAACCGACGACCAGTCAAGCTCATCAAGAAGGGCATTGCAGCTGAAGAAGGCGGTATTCAAGCCGCATATGACGGAGCAATTGATGCTCTGGTTCCAAGAGTGCAAGTCCGAGGGCCTGTTCAATAGCAGCAAGAAGAAGGATTACGCGCAAGTCTGGCAGGACGTCTGTACTCGCTGCAAAGAGGCCTGGCCGCAGTATCCATGGACCCCTGCTGTTATCTCGACGAAATATAATACCGAGCGCTCTCGATATCGCGTATGGAAGGCTCTGTTGGAGTATTCTGGGGTCTCTTTCAACGAGGAAAGCCAACTACCCGAAGCGGCCGAGTCAGTATGGGAGGCTTTCTTCTTACGGCATAACACTCCCACCAGGAACCATACCTGGCTTCAGCACACACCTCTGGGGGATCCAGAGGTCTACTCAGCAGTCTTTTGGCGGGAAAAAGCGACAGGCAACCATATAATGGAAGCTGAAGATATACCTTCCCAGTCCTTTGACCAGATTCTCGATGACGGCGAAGAGTCCGAGAACGATGAGGCTGAACCTAGCGGTAGCGAAGAGGCTGGCAGAGCAAAAGCATTACGAATACTACCAGTTACGCCTGCAAGGAAGATGACACCGGCACAGCAACACCGTCGTGATACTGACCCTGACTCCAACCACCGCCGTACTAGCGGTTTGTCGGTCTCTGAGGATACAATTGCCGTTTCGCAAGCCTCCCAGCAAAGCAAGACTCCTGATGCTTCTGATACAGCCTTGTATAGCACTCTTTGTAAAGCGGCCTCGATTATGGCCGCTCCGAGGACCCAAGGCGCCACCGATCTCACCGAGGCTATTGTAAGCTTGGAGGCTCTGTTTTCGCAGGATCTCAGCCGTCAGGAGAGGATAAATTGCCGGAAATACCTTCAAAACAACCCTCTGGCCGTAATAGTGTGGAACGCGTTGAATCCAGAGTCAAAGAGAGAGATGGTTGACGAGTGGAAAGTATGAAGTTGAAGTGGTGGATTTGATGGGAGTCAAGATTGTATTCAATATTCAGCTTCGCCAGCCAATTATCATAGAAATCCAAAATCCAACCTCGGCTAAAGCCACCCTTTCGCCCCACCTTATAACCCCTCAACACCAAGGTTTTGGCCGTTAAATATCACCATTTCTATCCTCTTGATTGACGGTATCTACTATACTGAGCCCACATTGCGTCTGCAGCGGTATGGCGAACCCAATCTGGATGCCGCGTTCCGACCGTCCGCCCAGCTCTGGCTGCCGCAAGCGATATCAATTGCCGCTGTTCTGGTCCAAGTACGTCCTCGTGATTATACTGAAGAAGGAAGTTATGTAACGCAGTCACAGCGTATACGATAAATACTTGCTTCTCAAAGCTGTACTCGATTGGGGCGTTCCGAATAATTCTCCACATCCTCTTTATGATACCGAAAGCCTGCTCGACGACGACTCGGATACGGGCGTGCCTTAAGTTATAGAGCTCATTCTGTGTCTCTGGCGGGTTTTGAGCATCTCTCCAGTCTTGTAGGTGGTATCTAATATTCGGAAAAGGAATTACGATGCCTTGGCGAGCCCCGAAGCCAGCGTCTGCCACATAAAACCGGTTCTCTGGTACACGAAACCTCCTTCCAAAGGCCTGGGCACACAACATCGCGTCGTTAATCGAGCCTTCGGCACCAGCGAGTACGTAACTGAACGAATAATCGCTTCTGACTGCGGCAAATACGTTCTGAGAGACTCCTCCCTTTCTATCACGCCAGCGGGCTTGATCACGAGTAGGAATGTGGGCGGCAATGTGAGTGCCGTCGATAGCACCGATACAACCGTTGAAGGCGTTCAACTTCGGGTTCAGCTCGACCGTCGGATCAAGCCAATCGTCCTCTGGAAGGCGTACAACGTGTTTATGTAAAGACACTAGCATTGGCAAGACTGTATCTATCGTCCTCGCCACGGAGCTTTGGGTAATTTGGAAGAAATGGGCCGCGTTTCGCTGTGTGGCTGCGTGTGCCAGGATATATAGGACCACCATAACCTTCTGCTCAGCCAGTTGATACCGGCTGCCTTTGAGTCCTTCGTTGGTCCGCAGCCATCGTACGAGGGCATGGAAAGTAGGCTTATTCATGCGAAAGAGGTCCTTGAACCGAGTGTCTGCGCCATTGAGAAGGCAATTGGCCAACCGGCGCGCAAATCGAGGGCCACCGGGGTGTATAACTTCGCGTAGGCCAAGTTGAGTGCCTTGCTGGCTTGGTTGGTGGTTGAGCCTGAGCCGAGGGTGCAGAATCGCCAAAACGGCGGCAATGCTGAAGTCACGGCTGGCTTGGAAAGTATCCCACATCGTCGTTATGCTTCAAGCATTCTTGGTTGGTACGAATTACATACAAAGTCAATGTTGAGGCTCATTTCTAACCCTGTACAGACTTTTCCAACCGGTTCTCAGCCCACTTCCAGTGTGGCTTTGCCTGTGGCGCCAGCTTTGGATCTACTTTCCACCGAAAAAGTCACAAATTCCAGCTTTTCCAGCCATCTTGCAACTCGCCAAGTTATGGCCAAAAACCGGCAGAATCCTCGTCTATTTTACCATATTCGGTATGGCTGTGGCCCGGGCGGCCTTGCAGTAGCGTGGTACATGCGATTCCAGGGGTGTTGGCATGAGTTTGGCTGGCAAAATTTTATGAGGTACAAAACCCACTTTTTCCACTCAAAATTGGTGCCAGAAAGGGTCAAGCTCCCTCCGGAAATTCGATCAATCTTGGTCTTGGCGCCTGGGACCTAAAGTACCGAAAAGCTGACAACTCGCCGAGTTTGAGAAGATCAGGGCCTAAGCGAACGCCACTGATCCAGAACATTCTAGATAAGCGAGGAACACAACCAACCCTCTTATATAAAAAGCCCATAACTCAACCAATTCTTTTCCAATTCTCTTCATCTTCAATTCGTTTTATTCTTCTTTTGACAATGGTTTCATATACAGAAGAAGACCTCCGCAAGGCTTGCGAGGAAGCCGTCAGAACACATTGATTACGCAAAGTCGCGCGAAAATGGAACGTTCCACCCTCCACCCTTTATGGCCGTCTACATGGCTCCCTACCTCGAAATGTTGCTCATCAAGATGAGCAAAGGCTTACACAGACCCAAGAGGATCGTTTAGTCGAATGGATTCTTCTTCAACAAGATTTAGGATTGCCCCCTACACATGCACAGATCAGGGAGCTTGCACGCCGTATTCTAGCTGAAAGGGGGACTCCTTACCACTTGGAAAGGGGTGGTGCCGTGCCTTTCTTAACCGCAATCGAAATTTGAAGACTCAGAGGGCCAAGAGAGTCGATTCGGTCCGCGTCAACTGCGCTACAGAGTCAACAATTCGACCTTGGTTCAACCATTTCCAAACACCAGCTATCAAGGCGATTAAGCCAGAGAATCGCTGGAACAAGGACGAATCTGGTATTATGGAAGGCAGAGGAACCAACGGCCTTGTCATTGGAAGCCGTGCCTTTAAGGCGCTTCAAAAAAAACAGCCTGGAACCCGCACTTGGACCACTTTTGTCGAATGCATCTCAGCAGCTGGCCGTTGCCTTCCTCCTTTGGTCATTTTTAAGGGGAAAAGCGTTCAACAACAATGGTTTCCTTTGGATATGAAGCCATTTCAGGATTGGTTCTTTACAGCAACTGAGAAAGGATGGACTACCGATGAGACAAGCCTCAAATGGTTAAAAAATGTGTTCATTCCTCTCACCAAGCCAGCAAACTCCTCTGAGAAACGACTCCTTATTATTGATGGCCATGGCAGCCACACAACTGCCGATTATATGTGGGAGGCATTCACAAACAATATTCACATTATTTATCTGCCTCCCCATACTTCCCATGTCCTCCAACCCCTAGATTTGGCCATATTTGGCCCCCTAAAACGACTTTATCGCAGACGGCTTGAGGACCTTCTTGCTAACGCCTTTGACGACTCTTCTGTAGCCGGAAAACGTGCGTTTCTGGAATGCTACTAGATTTCACGCACAGAGGCAATTACTTAGAGTAATGCTAAGTCAGGATGGAAGGCATCAGGCCTTTGGCCCTTGAATGTCAACAAACCGCTAAGAAGCCCACTCCTCCTCAAGAATTCTAATACTTCACGCCCCTTAAGAACTACTATAGTTACCCCAGAGGTTCGCACACTCCGTATGCCAATCCTGGAGGATTGTAAGAGAAGGCAGGTACGCCTGATCAAGGTGGTCACAATAGGAGCAACAAGCAGGGCGAGCAATGACTGGTATTGGCGTAAGACTTCAACCTGGCCTGAGCTAAAGAGGTGTGCGAAGGCCATGGTCTATATACACGTGAAAGGGGTTACGAGTCATCCTTGCGTAGCCAGGGTGGTAGTGGCGATAGTGCGTGGCCCTGTTAGCGGTGGCGATAGTGGCGACGGTGGCGAGGGTGGCCCTGGTGGCGGTGGCCATGGTGGTTACGAGGGTGGTTTCCTTACAAGGATTATGGAGACGATCGGGTGCAGTGGAGGACTCCTAGAAAGGCACGTGATTACGTTGAGCAGGCAAAGAAGTTCGCACGCATCATCAAAGCAATGCCAGCGGATAAGCTCTTCCTCAGAAAGATTGGTAAGGCTTTGGATGAATAGGCCTTTGAACTGGCTATTAGGAAGCGAAAGATTGAAGGTCTAGAACACACTCTCGAATCAATAAGAGCCAGAAAGAAGAAGAAGGTTGAAGAAGATCCAAATACCACCTTTGCGAATATTCAGACTATTCGTGAGGCCCAGAGAGCTGTAGGGCGTGCAGCAGAGGTTTTAGAAGATGCGGAAGAAGCGGATGATTCAGAGGATATCAAAGATTGTATTGAAGTTTTGTAAATAAAAAGATCACCCTTTCTTTTGTTGGAGGGTTAGTTGGGACTCCTGCTTATACAGAATGTTCTAAATCAGTAGTGTTCGCTTACCCCCCCACCTAACTTATATGTCAGAAATGGCCGCTACGGTTAGTACGCGCCGTCAAGCTTGTCGTGCAGAAACTGCGATCCCGAAAGGACGCATCTATAACCTGTCCGTGTCTACTAGGCTAAGGCGCGAGCTGGTCAAGTCGAGCGTCTCGAAGACGTCGAACTACGTGTCGTCTATAGACACGGGTACGAATAATACTACATAGACTATCCGCTCCTACGGCACTGGCTACTCGATCCGCAACGGCCATGTGTAAGGAAAAGGACACCCCAAACACCAACTGCGCGCACAGGGTGCGCGACCACCACTTGTCACCAACTGGCTAGAACACTGCCAGCTGGCATACGCTACGCCGTGGCGCCACGACCGCAGACTGATGCCCGGGCCGAACCCCTGAGCAGGTATATAAACAATGGCCCTCGCCCATCTTCCTTTGCGAGGGCCAGGTTGAAGTCTTACACCAATACAAGTCATTGCTCCCCTACCTTCTTGCCTGCATTGTGACCACCTTGATCAGGCGTACCTACCTTCTCTTACACCATGTCCGCACAGTGCGCGAATTTACGTTGGAGAAACTAACCTTTTGGCTTCGATAAAGACTTGTACAGTCTTTGATTGGCGCGTCGTTTGAAGGTGCCGAGGCTGGCGTGCGTATCGAAGCAAGCGAAGCGATGACAAAAACAAAGACGGACCACGGCCGCTATAGCACAAGGAGCATTGTCGAGTGCGTACGGCCGGAGGCATCAGTGAAGTTTAGAAAGGTCATTTTCTCAACAAACATGGCCGAGGCACTAGAGAACTTTGGAAAGGTCATTTTCTCAACAAACATAGACAGCGGAGGGCGAGCTTGCCATGGCAGATTTCGAGCTGAGCTCCCTCAACTACACTCGCGTAATGCGACCCACTCACAATCCGTCCCGTATTCAGAATTGCCTTTGCCAAGCAGTCTAGCCTATACCAGACTGTAATCTCCTCGCCAACCTCGATATCCCGTCGTAGCGACTCATATTCCTCCCCCTCCGGCACCAGCACCGCGTTAGCGTCGCAATCGTGGACCACCTTGCCTCGATCTTGGGCTTTGACTTTTGGGCACCAAGGATTTTCCACGGGCCCGCGGGATCCCGCCCCCATCACCTTCATCCAGGTTGTACTCCCCGGAGTTGTCATCATTTGTTGTAAAAACATCATCTAGGGACAGAGTCAGCCCGTTCCCACCCCATCACCTTGTAGGTTGTACTCACCGTAGTAGTCTCCTGCTTCCTTCCCTTAGTAGCCGATTAAATATTTCCTTCTATCTATCATCTATCCCCTCTCTATTCTGTCACTGCCGGCGGCTGTTGTGGGACATGTTGAGTGTGCGGCTGTTGTGAGACATGTTGAGTGTGTTGAGCGAGTGGTGGGAGATTTTGAGTGTGTTGAGCGAGTGGTGGATGGTGAGGCGAGTGCTGAACGTGTGGGAGATGCTGCTGATGCTGCTAATGCTGCAAGAGCTGCTGGTGTTGCAGTTTGTTGGAATGTAGGCCTCGAAGAAGCCAGGCAGAGGATTTGCAGCCTACTTCGCGGCCTACCTCGTAGCCTAAACCGCGACCTACTTCGCGGCCTACTTCGCCACCTATTTCGCCACCACAATAGCAGAATAAAAAGGAGGCTTTCTGGCACTGCCAGAAAGAAAGAGGAAGAAAATATACAGAAAATCCATCACTTGAACCACCAGTTTCTCGGCGTACAGTTACGCCCTGTTGTTTCCAGTACCGGGACCCTGGTGAATCCAACACAGTTGCTGGTGTTGCGGGAGCTGTTGGTGTTGTGGGTGTTGTTGTAAGTACTGCGGGAGCTGCTAGTGTTGCGGGAGCTGTTGCGGGAGCTGCTGGTGTTGCGGGAGCTGCTGGTGACCGCACACACTAAATAGCACTCCATAACGCTATGTACTGGTTTGTGCCACTGTACAGTTCCTTATGCAGTTGCTGGTGTTGCGGGAGCTGCTGTGGCTGGTGTTGTGGGTGTTGTGGGTGTTGTTGTGAGTGCTGCTGATGCTGGTGTGTGTGAGGCGCTGCAAATTGCCAGTCAGGCCGATGGGTCCGTGAAGCTTGGTGATGCAGAGGCAAAGTATTGTCCTGCTGGATGCAATGTGTAGAGGTCGGGGTTGCATGCTCGTCGCTCCCATATTCTTGCGTCTTGTGGATTCTGTGGTGGGGTACCCCGCACATGACTGGGCACTTGGGCTAGCCCCCTGAGGATTTCGCCCACACATTTAGGCATTAGCCCGAAACCAAGGTACCAGCAAGGTAGTGAGTGCTTGGCTTATCTGTGTAGTGGGTCCTGCAGTGTGACACGCCTAAATTTCTCGCCTCGTTTGCGTTTGACTTCTCCGACCTCTCTCCCTTACCTACCTCCTTGCTTCGTTTGCGTTTGCCTTCTCCAACCTCTCTACCTTGGCTCCCTCCTCACCCACGTTCGCCTTTGATTATTTCGCACTAAAGTCACCACGACCCGAATCCCTCACGGTTACTGGTAGAAGCCGAGTGCAGCCTGCGTCGTGGCCGGCCCCGTGTCCTACGAAAATGACGAGAGAACCGCCGACTTCATCTCTGAACCCAGTAAAGGTCGACATTGTTAGCGACATTGTTGGTGACCTTGCGAGAAAGGCGCTCGTAGCCATCCACGGCGAGTCGCTGCTGGCTTATTGCCGAGGAGCCAACGTCGACTACAACTGTAAGGGCCTCGTCGACTTCAACTATAGGGACCCCGGCGAGATATTTTCATGGCTTCTTTACTAACGTTTTACGACTCTTAAATACCTCTAGCATGCTGTCCATGCCGTCGAGGCGTTCCTACCCAAGCTGCGCGATCGCGGATGCGACTTGCACGTCTTCTGGTTTGAAACGGAACATGAGAAGTTTGGCGCGCTCTCGGTAAATATGGAGGATACATGGTACAAATACCGACTCGCGTTCCGTGCTCATTGAGCCTTTGCTTGCCTAGGCAACCCGTCAAGTGCGACCGCGTTCAGTTTTTCGTTTCATAGCCTACAGAGCAGCGCCTTCTCCGAGTTTCTCGCCCAAAACACGGTCTACCTCTTTCTTGGCTACGACGACACCGAATGCTGCCTACAGTCTCAACCTTGGAACTTGGGAGTCGCAGAGCGAAAGTCGCGATAATCTTCTGCTCTGGTACTAGATGAGACGGGTACAGTATACGCCTTTGCGCATGCTGTATGCCATGTCCTCAGCGGATATTATGTTGGGTTCCTCAACGACATGGAGTTCAAGAGCTTAGACGTAACCACGCTGCTTAACTGGACATGCTCAGTAACAACACCATGATAGTGCAACCAAGCTAACCAGAGACCCATAAGGCCTACCGGAGAGTTGAGACGTCTAAGGGAAATATATCCCCTTGTGAAAGACTTGTACCCGACTCAAGCAAAAGACTACAAATCTCAGAAGATGTAGGGGATATGGAGAGGCTCGTCCAAGACGGCCCAACAAGTCAATAACGGCGCAGGAGATTATCCCTCTCCGCGCTGTCGAGGAAGCTCGAGGGTGACCCCAGCAGAAAGATGATTGATCCTCACCGGCAAATTGCTGCTCTGATTGTCCACCTGGTCATCCTGTGACATTGCGATCTCTCTCAGCGGAGCCAACACCAAGCAAGCGCGAAGATACTCGGGCTATGAAATATTTTTGGTATTGGGTGTCATATGCAGATACTCAAAGCGCTTGTTGCGTTTGCCGAACCGCGAGGTATCATCATCCTCTCGGGCGAGGTATACAGTCCCCTCCACTATTCACTCCCAGAAGGGCAAGAAGCGCCGCCGATCCTCGCGGGGATACGAGAAAGCGGTCCTGCGCGGTATCATAGAAGTTCTGACAAGCATTCTTGGCTGTTCCGAGCTTGCTCGGGGCCATCTGGAATCGGGCCAGGCAACTCGACCACCGCCCACATACGAGACATTCGCCGTCACACCTGTGGCAAGGCAGATGGGAGCTGCTTGTGCGCCTGAGCAACGTCGTCCTGCGCCGCTGCTACCTCGACGGCCTCCCGCCCTCGGGTTGAACTTCACGCCAGCTAAGTTTCTTGCCGAGTATTACAAAGTTCGCTGCCGGCACCCGCTGTTAGCTGTAGACTTTTGCCTTTCTGGCTTTTACGTCACTGATCCCCGCCAAGGCAAGCGCAGCCCCCGCCTGTAGTCAAAAGTTTTTTGCTGAGAAGTCCACAAGCTGTTTGCTGTCGGCACCCGATCTTGGCTGTGGACGTTTAAATCTTCCTCCGCGCCTCGATTGCCTAATTCACAAGTTCGCTGAGTAGTACACAAGTTTTGCTGACTAGTATACGTTTTAGCTGCGCATACAAGTTTTTGCTGACTAGTACAGAGTTGTTCGCTGCCGACACCCGCTCCGGCTGTAGACTTTGCCTTGCTGTGCCACGTCACTTGCCCCCGCCAAGGCAAGCGCGAACCTCCTGCCTGTGGTACACAAGCTATAGCACCCGCTTAAACTTTTCAAATCTTCCTACGCGCCTCGATTCTGATTCACAAGTTTTGCTGAGTAGATACAAGTTTTAGCTGAGCACACAAGTTTACTGAGTAGCATACAAGTTTTAGCTACGTAGACATAAGTTTTTTGCTGAACTTGTTCGCTGCCGGCACCCGCTGTGGACTTTTTGCCTTTCCGGCTTCCACGTCACTGATCCCCGCCAAGGCAAGCGCGAAGCCCCAAGTACATAAGCTGTTTGCCGTCGGCGCTCCTGGCTGTGGACTTTTTGCCACGTCACTTCTCGCCAAGGCAAGCGAACCCCCCGAGTACACAGTTGTTGGCACACAAGCTGTATCGGGATAAATAGACCGTCTACTGCCGCGTTTCCTTGCCAGTTGTCTTGGGCATCTTCTGGCACAAGCTGTCGGCCTTGGCCGTCGACTTTGCTAGCGCCACGTTAGGCAAGCGCGAAGCCCCGGACACAAGTTGCTAGACTTTCCACGCTTGCCACGCCAGGCAAGCGTGCCCCTGAGCTTGGGCAGCGCCGACACATGATCCCGCAAGGCAGAACTCAGTGACAGCACAGTTCAGTGACACACTGTTGCTCACGCAATCTACTCGGTCTTGAATCCATGCAAGTCTCCTCTTCGGAATAAGTACCTCCATGGCAAAGTTAGTGACAATCGTGGCGGCGACTCGCTGGGCTGTGTTCACCTTCTCCTTTTCGATGACACCGTCCCTGACACACACAGTCATCACCCAAACTGTAGGTGAATCAAGCCATCAACTGCATGTGCTTTTCTCAAACCGCAAGTGCTTCTCTTCTTTCTCTTCTAGGCCCCCTTCGGATCAAGTACCTCTATGGCAAAGTTGGTAACAATTGTGCAAGGCAGACAACTCACTGGGGCTGCATGGTTGAGCCTGGCCGCTGTGCTGTCCTCTGTGTTGCACCTTCTCCTTTTCAATGAAAACACGCCCTGTTACGGCACGGCCGAACTATGGTCCGTGGTGCCGTGACCATGCGCCAAGTTGCAAGCCCTACTTGCAACTCTCTTCCTGATTGAGACTAGCGTACACGTGACCACACGACCCCACCCTACCCCCAAACCGTAGCCTAGAACTCGCAGGCTTCTTCCTTTTCCTTTTCTTTCCTTAACTTGGTTACTTTACGAATTCAGCCCTAATTTACTTGCAGCTTACGTGACACTGACGGGCAGGGGCGTGTCGTTACGCCGCTCTGTCATGGTAAATACCGATTGCCACAGGTCGGGATCGGCGGAAGGGGGGGAGGATGGTGGTGCTGGTGGTGGTGGGTAACTAAACTAAGCCAAGCCCAAAAAGAACTAAAGCCGGCGCTCTAGTACAGAGCAAAAGCAAATCAGGAGATTCCAATACAAATGTGCCAAGAACGAAAGAAGCCGAAACCAGAAGCCAAGAGGCGGAAGTCTAAGCAAGGCAGAAGTGTTACAATCTGGACAACAGGTCCACGGAGCTAGGCCCGGCCTAGGATTGTGGGGGTCTGGACGGCAGGTAGGAGATGACAGGAGACAAGGAGTATCGAGCACAGATTGCGAAAGACAGGCTTTCAACACACAGCCAATGTATGCTTAACCAGATGCATTGATAGCTGCAGAACCGTTCTCCAGAGAGAGCGTGCTGCCAGCTCCTAAATAGAACTATGAGCAACCAATCAGAGTTCCTGCCTTACACGCTCAGTCGTGCTCAGTCCTAGACGCACTGATCCCCACTGAGCTCCCTGCTCAGTGCGCTCAGTGGGTCTCGGCACTGATCTTACTGAGCTCAGCCATGCTCAGTGCACCTTGGCAATGGCCCCACTGAGCACTCCCTAATTGGATGCACCTTCTCTTAGCGAGAGCCCCACCCTAAGTGCCGTTCCAGCCAATCCGCAGCGGGCGGGCAACGCCCTCTGCACCTTTGAACCAGGATCGTAACAAGAAGACAAACTACCAAAAGAGAGGGAGTGAGAGATGTCAGTGGAAAAAGGTGAAGGAAGATCGAGGCTCGCAGATGGAGGAGGGGAATAAATACAAAGCCGGCTGGGGATCAAATCAGCTAGAGCTAGCCCTAACTGCACCTGCACTTCCTTTTGCTCCGGGGGGAAAAGGAAAAAGGAAAAAAGAAAAAAGAAACCGCTGGGCAAGGCACTATTTTGTTCGGATGAAGCGGTCACGCAAGAAAAAGCAGGCAGCACGCGGGTATTCCACCCTTCACACACAAAGATCAGACCCTTTCTGAGCACCAGCTGACCAGTGACATGCCAGGAACGGGCCCCCATGATTAGACAACTACGTATCTAGACACTTCTACGGTCTTAGTCTTTCTACTACGGTCTGTGACCTGACATAACAGATGCTATTACTGCTACCATTCTATTTCATCCTGACTTCTATATCGCTCTGCCCTGCCCGTCGAAGAATCATTACACAGTACAGCTCTGATGGGAAAATAGTGATTTTACTAAAGTAATGTATTAAGATACAAATGTGTAGAAGGTTGAAGGTTGTTAGACGAGTGGTGTGTGCGACCGTGAGGTAATACCCCTCGGGGGCAGTATAGTCATACTGCTTGCTCACACCGCTTCTGGCACCGCCTATGACTAATCTATATTACGTAATATACAGGTGCAGGCACGTGCCTACTGCAGGTGCAGGGCAATCAGCCAGTCTTGGCAGGTAGATAAGATTGTCCATGCTGCTGTGTCTTTTACTATAAGATTTGTCCTTGCTGCCATGTCTATTGTAAGTGTCACGACACAGCGCATTTCGGGTTCCTTATCGCATTGCCGTGTGACGTCACTTCCCGATGAGCTCAGTTAGGTCTAGCGCATTGGTCACGTGGTTGCGAGCTACCCCGCCGACAACCTTTTCTACTGATCGCACAATTCGCGATTCTTCTTCTTTTTCCTTTTTTCTTCCTTAGCTTAGTTTTACACTAAATCAATACGGTATATTGTTGGCAACAGTCCTTCAAAACCTATTAACCGTGACAGTAAGGACAAGATTTGTCCGCTGCTATGTCTATTATAAGAACAAGACTTGTCTTTGCCATTTTCACTCCTGCCTCCTGTAAGAGAAGGCAGGTACGCCTGATCAAGGTGGTCACAATAGGAGCAACAAGCAGGGCGAGCAATGACTGGTATTGGCGTAAGACTTCAACCTGGCCTGAGCTAAAGAGGTGTGCGAAGGCCATGGTCTATATACACGTGAAAGGGGTTACGAGTCATCCTTGCGTAGCCAGGGTGGTAGTGGCGATAGTGCGTGGCCCTGTTAGCGGTGGCGATAGTGGCGACGGTGGCGAGGGTGGCCCTGGTGGCGGTGGCCATGGTGGTTACGAGGGTGGTTTCCTTACACCTCCCTCTTGTGGTTTAGACTCAAACTAATTCTGGTTAATAGGCCTAGGAGATAAATATATTGCTAGCTCGAGTTGGTTACAAATGCTCAGATATGCCAGTACGCCGAGATGAAGCCAAGCTCTTCCCCAAAATAACCATTGCCCTTTCAAACACCATCGCTCTTCAAAACAACCATCGCACTTCAAAAAACTATAGCCCTTCAAAACAACTATCGCCTTTTATATAGCTACTATTTTGTCAAGAGCTTTGTTAAATTCATCCTTTAAGGGGTTTGCGAGATATAGTGATATAGTGCTGGTTACCTAGCCCCTGTATCTCCTTTCTCGTATACACATATGTAAGGAAAGAGCACCCCAAACGCCCGGTCCGGCCCAGGCGCCACCAGCTGGCCCCAAACAGCTGGCCCGGCCCAGGCTGTGAGGACCCGTCCACCAAACTGGCCCTGAAGCAGCCAGAGCCCCCAGAACCCACGGGCCTATCAGAAGCCTCCTCGAGGCCCCACCTACCCCACTGATAGATGCAAACTTATTCGCGAGCACGCGACGCGTTGTCGGACTTTTCCTTCTTTCCCTCCTCAGTTTAGAATCTTCGTCGATAGCACCCAATGGACTGAGTTCACCTCAATGCCTTGCCCTGGTCGTGACACAATTCTAAACTCTTCTCTTCCTTGCTGGCGAAGCAAGTAAAATATATCTCCCTCATTCCCGCATTCATTTGCAACCCCTACGTCGGCTGTACACGACGCAAAACTAAGGCACAGAACCCCCGCGCAGTCAATGCCGCCGAAGAAAGATTACGGCCCACCGACACGCAAATCCGATCGACTCTCTAAAAAAGATAGCAGAGACCGGACCCCAACAGGAGAATCGAGTATCACAGCCAAAGTGCCAGACGACACCGTCCTCGATACACCCTCGAGCCCAGAGCTAAACAAGCCCGCCGAAGACCCCAGTGACCCCGAGTCAGAAGTACCTGTCACTACCAACAGCAACACCGAAAGCAGATCGCCCGCTGTTACCGCGCGAGACCCTGATCAAGATACACCTCTCGCCTCTGTCGAAGTCGAGATAACGAACTCCAGTATCCTCACCGAACAATCGGAAGTCAACCGACAATTGACCCATTACAACCTCCGCCCCGCACCAACAGACGACGAGATGATCGCCACAGGTACACCCACCCCACAATCAACAACCGCAGACATGGCCCCCTCCACGCCTACCACTACAGAGCTTCAAGCCATCATTGCCCGGCTCCAAGCCGAGCTCAATGCCCGCTCCTCTACACCCATTCGCCAACCCAGCGCCGCTCGCGATATAACCCCAGCTCAAAGCTTGTTTGGCGGAACTGCTTTTAAGCCAGTCGGACCAGCTGCCAAACCCGAGTTCGCCCCGTTCCCTGGGAACGAAGGACAAGACAATCCCAACCCGGACTATGACGCAAGGGCCCGAGAATCACGGAAGGATCCTGGCATCTTCGAAGGAGAGAAAGACCAATTCGATGATTGGATTCTCAAGTTGGCGGCCAAATGTCGTCGAGACAAGAAGACCTTTGTCGACGAGAGAGATCGTATGGACCTGGTTTACGCCTCCACAAAAGGAGTACCCGCCGATCTTCTTCGCTCGAGATATGACGCTCTCACCCATCCATACCACTCGACAGCCGAGATGATCGCCACTCTGGCCAATGCTTACTTCGACGCAAATCAGTCCCTGAAAGCGGCTGACGAACTACGCGAGCTTCGCTACAACCCGTCCGACGACATTCATGCATTTATCGCGAAAGTTAACGGTCTGGCAGCCCGCGCCAAGATCCCCCTTGAAGAAAGCAAGAATACCTTATTCGCCCATATCCCCAGAGACCTCGACACCCGACTCCTCGCCGATGCCCGCGATCCGACCGTCACGTACGAGAGATTTTGCGATCTCGTCACCAGCGCCGCTCTCTCCAAGCAGGGAGCTTACGAAGAGCGTCGAAAACGCCGAGAAAAGTCCCCCACCGAACGCAAAGCTCGACGCCGCCGGTCTGGAGAATACAAGAACGAGGTCAAGACGACCACGACCCCTGTCGCCCCAGCACCTCGACCGATAGAGAAGGAGGTGGAAATCCTGAAGGCAGCCGACCTCTGCTTCGTGTGCAAGAAGCCAGGACACCAAGCTCGCAAATGTCCTGATCGCAAGGTTATGGCCAGTCTCCTCGCCAGCTTCGATCATGAAGGAAGCTCTGACCGTGACGGGACCGCTGTTGCCGATACTTCGTCGGAATCTTCAGGATCGTTAGAGTCGGAAAACTAGTTCGGCTGTCGGAAGTCTCCTCGATAGCCCATATACCACAATTAGCTAAAGTCGGCAGATCACCAAAATCAAATACATTCACCAAACGGGTCAACCTGTTAGTCGATGGCATTGGTCTTGAGACTCACGCTCTTTGTGATACTGGAGCCGATATTTCCCTTTCTATGACCCCGAAGATGGCCAAGAAGCTCGTTGATAAGGTCGGGGCAAAGACGGAACTCTTGACTAAACCGCTAGTACTTAGTGATTTCAACGGGGCCGCCACCGCTCGCGCCACCCATCAAGTTCGGGTCACTCTCGAGATCGACGGCAGACGTTTCCCCCGTCAGAAGTTCATTATCATCCCGACCGCCAATGATGTCTT